TTGTATCCAATGATGCTATTTCTGCTCGAAATCTAAGTAACCCAAATTTCGAATCTAAATTAGATCCTTTCGTGACCGAACGAGTTCTAGCGATCAAACACTGACTAGATTTTGTCTTTGGACGTCTATTCCAATCACTTCACCACGCTTTTCTTTCACTTGTTTTTTATTGGACTATGTCAAATTGAGAGCGCGACATTGATCCCCATGATTTTACATGTGCAATCTCTTGGTTTGGATTTAGGTTCCACCAAACCAAGGAATACTTAGAACGCGGGATTAAAGATCCACGGGATATGGTAAGACGCTTGGAGGGGCAAAACACATACAGATACAATAGGACTTAACATCATATCTACACACATTAACTCAAGATTATCATTACAATCGAGTGACTTCATTTAATGTAATATTTGAACATGTCCTTCGACGGGGTCAATTGCTAAATTTGTGAGCTTATATCCATATTTCATGTATTTCTCTATTTCTTCCTTTTATTAGTCATCTGTACTCTTATCAAATTGTGTCTAAAACCCATTTATTTACTCAAAGTTATTGAAATGAATCATAGATGGGTCACCTCGAATGTGAGGAACCTAGTCATAATGATTTTTTAAATTGAAAGCTTAAAATAAACGGGTTAAATTATGAACCCATTTGCAATCCACTTAAAAAAGTGCTCAATGACTCAAGGCATAACTGCTCTAGGGGTATCGATGGGTCGGGTTTCCGAAAACAAGATGTCAAACCCAACCCACCTCCACCTCCACCTCCATCTCGACCTCCAAGCCCAGTCTCTCTCTCCTCTCCCTCCAGTCTCGCTTTCTCGCCCTCAGCCTGCAACATAATCTCTACGAAGCCTTTGAGAACAAAGCCCTCTTGTGACATATATGCGTTTCTCCCATCATCTCTTGGGGTCTTGTGGCCTTGCTCTTCAAGATTAATTTCACCGAGTTTTGGCTTTCTTCAGTTCTTAGATGAAGCAAGAACGCACAGAAGAGAGGAAGCAAGTCCTAGAGCTCTCTGCGCTAGTCCTAAAACTATTTCGGGGAGTTCGATAAGCTTTTCACTCCTAACTACAAGTCGTCCAACAACGAGAACTGGTTCGGACCTCCACTAGGTATTACCCTAATTTCAACCTGCTCGTGGTTAGCTCACCTAGTTCGGGTCTAAAATCACTGACTTAACGCCCACTCGCTTTAGCCACGACTCCGATTAACAATCATAACTCGCAAGCTCATTCTGCAAACAAGCTTTCACTTTTGGAGATGCAGGTTCTTTTACCCTCTCCCTCACGTTCACCACCGGTAACTGAGGGCCCGTTTAGTAACGTATCAAATAGTGAAAATTTATGTTCTTTTGTTCCCAGAAATAATTTGGGAACAGAAATGCGTTTGGTAAACTTTTTGTTCCCGGGCACATTTTTGCAAATATTTGTGCCGAGAAACAGTTTTGGAAGAGAAACAAGAAGTAAAAAAAGTTGCTTCTTGTTTCTCGGCACAATTTTGAGAATCAGTTTTTTTTCTTCTTTTTCTTTTTTTTCTTTTCTTCTTTTTGTGTTGCTCTTCTTGGGTTGTGGCCGGTCGCCGGCGGCCGGCCACAGCCCAGGGCCGGCGAGGGCGTCACGGCCCTCGCCGGCGGAGGCGAGGGTCCTCCCTGCCGGCGAGGGCGAGGTTGGACCATCGCCGCCCGGGCGAGGCGGCTCGCCGTCGGTCATGGCGAGGCTCGGCCTCGCCGGATCGGGCGAGGCCGAGCCTCGCCGTCGCGACCCACCGGCGAGGTCGGCCGAGCCCAAATCGGGCGAGACCAAGCCTCGCCGTCTCGACCCACGGCGAGGTCGGCCGAGCCTCGCTATGATCGACGGTGAGCCGCCTCGCCCGGGCGGCGAGGGTCCGGCCCTCGCCCTCGCCTCCGCCGGCGGCCGGCGAGGGCCGTGACGCCCTCGCCGGCCCTGGGCTGTGGCCGGCCGCCAGTCGCCGATGACCAGCCATAGCCTGGGTAGAAAGAAAAAAAAAATTAAACAATTCAAAATATTATTAAAATATTATTAATAAAAAGAAATTTGTGTGTAGTTACCAAACGCATTTCTGTTCTTTTCTATTCCAGAAATAGAAATTTTGGACAGTTTACCAAACGCCTTCAAATGCACAGAAATTGTTTCCGGGCACAGAATAAAAAAAAATCATTTCTGTTCAGAAATGGTTCCCGAGCACAGAATGGTATTCATGCGCACCCTGAGTAGTATTTCACCTTGTAGGCAAAGATAGTATTCTATGTAATAATATTTAGGGAGCATTTTCTTATGCATTTGTATGATAATAATGGATGTTTATGATTTTTTTATGTGCTTAACCTTGTCATATTTTTTAATTTTTTTAAAGTGTCTTTTTAAACGTCATGTAGTGATGGCATGGAAAAATAATGGTTATAGGACTACTGCATTCACGGGATAAAATGAAAGTTGAACAGTTAAAATACACGGACTACAATGTAATGTAATGACACATATTAATATTATAATTGAACGAAATGCGTACAAAAACTAGTAAATGGTTCTTTTCAATCTTATTTATGCTTAGGTTATTTTTTGAATAATAGTTTTCTAGTAAAAAAAAAGAGAAATGTTAACTCATTAACACAATAATTCATTAGTTATCGAGTAAATAAACTGTTTCTTTTGGAAGATGGGAACATTGATTTTGTTCCAAATGGAGAAGAAAAGTATAAAATCAAAAAAAGAAGGTAAGAAATAATCATAAAAATCATGAGTGGGCCCCATATTTAATCTGAACAAATGTCGTTTGAGAGGATCATAGGTAGTTTTGTCTCGAAAAAAGAGAAGAAATAATATTAAATCGAAAGTGGGATCCGCGATAAATAATATAGTCAAATCATTGTGATAAGAGTTGTCATGAGTCAATAACGGGATGAAAATAGCGTGAGCGAATAACATTTGTCATAATCAAAACATTAGAGGAACATAAAAAGCTTCCAAGCAAAGTAAATGCCAAAAGAACTGCAAAACATAACACAACCCAAAAATCCAAAAGTCCAGCTTGCAGCTATAAGCACTCTTTCATCTAAGAAGACCAGATCTATCACACCATAAAAAAAAAAAATCACAAGTCGATCTGGAACTATCAAATCTGTCCATCTAGAAACTACGGGTTGGAGTGCACACCTAGGTTCGACGTCCTCAAAACCATCCTACACAGAGACAACAACAACAACATGTTGAAGCACCATAAATCGAACGCTTCTAAGAAAGTAGATTTAGATCGAGAGAGACAAAACTCCCAGATTAAGGCGACACCAAAATCAGGAGATGAGAGCTTCCACCAAATCTCAGAAAAGTCATAGAACCACGTCCCGGACATCCTGCTAACTAGATTGGTGACAACATTCTCGCAAAATTTTCAGCTACAAATAGATTTATTCACCGTGATGAGCGAAGAAAAGCAACAACAACGAGCATAAGAACATGCCAAATAAGGTGAAAAAGACTCAGATTAGATTAGGAGAGGAAAAAAAAAAGGAAATCAAAACCTAAAAAAGAAAAACAGAGCATAGCAGGCTCTCAACTTCGGAAATTGGAGTTGGGAGCCTGCAGGTGAAGTTTCCTTTGAGGGAGGGGTTTTTTGGGAGAGAGAGGGTTGTCAACAGAGAGTTGATTTCATTATTCAGAGGATGCTTGAGTACATGAATAATGCATTATTTTAAGATAAGATACCGTTTGATAACACCCAAAAATGACCAAAATCTTTTAAACAATATGATGCCGATAGAAAACTCGATATTGAATGTTCATAGCCATCGACGAGTTATCAATGATAAAGAAGCTTGTCGACCAATATGAATATAAACAATTGACATGACATCAATATGAAAGTTCGATGTCAAGCGATGGTACTATTGATAAGATATTGATGGCAGAAGAACTTGCTCATTATTATGAATATCGATGACGATTTTTTTTTTATCAACATACAGTGATTATTGGTCGACAATTGGCACTTAAAATAAATTTAGTTTGTGTTGAAAGTAAAACCGACGATGACAAAGATGCCGATTGAGAAGTTATAGACAGTTGGACATGCAATCGCAGAGCTTTTCCAAAGAAATAGCTTAGAAGCCACATTAAAAGCGCTCTGAAGTTGAGCCCAGCAACAACTAAAAGTTGGAATTAAGATGAAAGTGCAATTATAAAGTGTGATCATAGAGCCGACAATCACGAATATACGGTTGTAACTTTTAATTTGAATACTAAACGCTTAGAAGGGGTTACTTTGTGTAATATATAAGCCGCGTTGAATCATTGTAGAGAACTCCCGATCATCAACACGAAAAATGCATCTTTTTAAATTTATCGTTACAACTTTCCACTTCCTACATTTACTTCCGTTTAAAGTGATTACTTCTAATTCCCGTTCGCGGTCATGCTTAACACTTCCTGTTCAAATTGCCACGGAATCCGATTTGAATAACGACCGATGATCCAACCTTAGGTGCGAGGTATCGCGTCGTGTGGAGCCGTTCCCGGCTATCCATATACGAAATGCTCAATTAGCTAATTTGAAAGCAAAATATATGGCAAACTAATGGAGCGGAGTTTTGTGTTTTAGCTTTGATAAAATAGTACAAATAACCTTTCAACGTGTATATGAGCTCTTTGAGCATAGTATTACATGACTACTTAGGTTTAATTTAGTGATTTTAAATTACTTTGAGTGGGCAACTTACACTCATACTCTAGAGGATTCTTGCATTTAATAGGTAGATAGTAGGTAGCGAGATTGGATCTCCAACGTCAGATTAAGAAGAGATCTACGGTTGTAATTAGAGGGGTTCATGTATAAATAAGATCTATCGGTGTCATACAAATCCAATTCTTCATGATCGGGTGTGGGCCGCACGGTTCGGGATCTCAAGCGTCGGTCCGCGACACAAGAAGGTACAGTACTAAGTACAATTTATAACGTTTTCCTTCTTCTTGAAACATTAATTTTTGGCACGCATCATGTATCCATATTTCCATAAGCCACGGTTGCAAGCAACAAACGAGAACCCTAGTAATCAACGTCTCCTTGTAGTCATCACCTCCAGGCGTCTCCCTCCTACCCCTCCCTGCCCCCGGCGACGGTAACACAGAGCACCGAGCGTTCCGTACCGAGTCGCCGCCGCTGGCGGCAACCGATGCTGTCGCTCCTGGTAAAATGTTTGAACATTTTAGCTCTCTGCCCCCGCGCATGTCTACTACTGTTTCTGTTTCGTTGCCGTTCAGTGGAATTTGTGAAGCTTCAGGTGATTTGGGTTTCGATGGTTAGGTCGGTTGGCCGTCGGAATGAGAGTGGTTTTCGATATAATGTTCTGGGTCATGGCTGTTTTCTTGAATCCGCTGATGCTAGTTGTGGTCTGTTTCGTCATGTTGTTGTGATATTCGCAAACTTGAATAATGGGGATGCGGTAGTTCTGTCGGAATTTTACAGGATTCAGTGTCTTCTTGCATGAACTCTATTCTCTTGATTAAGTGGTTTAATTCATTGTTTGTACTTTGATTGAAGCACCCTTTTATGGTAGATATACGGAGAGACGTAACAGGTTCTGTCATTATTTGGATGCTGTATTTATGATTCCGGGCCTATCATTGTTCTTGTGCAGGAGTTGGTGTGGTGATTCTGTTTCCATCCGAATCTCGGACGAATTATCGTCTCCGAGGTAATAAAGAGCTGTCATATCTGCTCTTTTGCTCTGTTGCTTTTGAGCTCTGATGCCGATTCCCGAAGATCCTCTGTGTTGAGCAGCTCAGAATATGCTTGAAATTCTTGTTTCAGCTGAACTGTGACTCTTTTATTAATTTGCCAAACTTAAAGAGAGTAGTTGTGTTGTAGAAGATATGGGTTTCGCGGTTGCCCCACAGAGTTCCATGGCCGATGCGTCTCTTCCGCATCTTCTGCACCGGGATTCTAAACAAGCTAGCCGAAGTTCTGGACCTTGTGGTATCAATTGCTTTTCAAGAGAGACAGGATATGCTTTTCGGACAAGTACCTCAATTAAGTGTGATTATAGTTTCCGTCAGACAAATGGTTATCTCAGTGTTCGAAGAAATGTGGGCTCTTTTCAGTGTGGAGTTTTACAAAGAAGCTTTCGCACTTTCGAGGAAGATGACATCGACCAAGATGAGTGTAGTTCAGAAGGCTACGAAATGATTGCTCCGAGAAAAAGCAGTGTTAAGACGAATTTGAGGAAAACTTCCAGTTCGTCGCGCCGGTCTTCAGATGGATCATTTGTCGGAAACGATGAGGAAACCAACAATGAAATTCTTCAAAATCTCTGCAGTAGGGGGAAACTGATGACTGCATCGCAGTTGATAGATGTCATGGGGCGCCGGAATCAAATTCCCCACTTCCCTTCCTGCGTAAGCTTGATCAGAGGTCTCGTTAGAATTAATAGAATAGAGAAAGCAGGCAAAGTTCTTAGAATCATGGTCTTATCTGGTGGGGTTCCTGATGTGATCACATGCAACATGATGATCGGTAGTCTTTGTAAGGAAGGGCTTTTCGGATCTGCTGTTGACCTCTTAGAAGACATGAGCTTAAGTGGCTGTCCTCCAGATGTCATAAGTTACAACACTATTGTCCGCTGCATGTTTGGCAATGGTTATTTTGATCAGGCTATTGGTTTTTGGAAGGACCAATTGAGGAAGGGATGCCCACCTTACCTGGTCACCAATACCATACTTATCGAGTTAGTATGCAGGCACTGTGGAGTTGTGCGCGCCATTGAAGTTTTGGAAGATTTGGCTATGAATGGTTGTCATCCTGATATGGTTACCTATAATTCGCTTGTAAATTTTACTTGCAAGCTGGGGAATTATGAAGATACAGCTCTAGTCATGCATAATCTTTTATCTCATGACATGAAACCTAGTACCGTAACTTATAACACTCTCCTTCATTCTCTTTGCACCCATGGCTTGTGGAATGAAGTAGATGAAGTCCTTACAATAATGAGTCAAAGTTCACGTCTTCCGACGGTTGTTACTTACAATATTTTGATCAATGGTCTGTGTAAATTTGGATATCTAGACCGCGCAATCGACTTCTTTGAGCAGATGGTTCAGAAAAAGTGTTGCCCTGATATAATAACATATAACACCCTTCTAGGTGCTCTTTCTAAAGAGGGTATGGTGGACGAGGCCGTTCAACTACTTCACTTTTTGAGTGGTACTAGCTGTTCTCCAGGTTTGATCAGTTATAATGTCGTCATTGATGGTTCGGCTAAATTGGGTGAGATGGGTAAAGCGAAGTTATTATACAACGAGATGATTGAAGCTGGGATTAATCCTGATGACGTCACACATCGATCTTTGCTTTGGGGGTTCTGCCGAACTGATTTATTCGACGAGGCTATGGATATGTTGGGCGAGATGAATAGGAGAAATCACAGAGTTGGTAACAGTGCATACAGATTCCTGATCCATGGACTATGTAAAAATGAGAAAGTCAGCTCTGCAATACAAGTACTGGAAAAGATGATATCAAGTCAGTGTAAGCCGGATGAGACCATCTATTCTGCCATAATAGAAGGTTTAGCTGCTGCAGGGATGACAAAAGAGGCCCATGAACTGCGTCGAAAACTGATAGAATGGGGCCTTCTTTCTCAAGAGGCAGTGGTTAACTAGGACTGCATTATAACTTGAGCCTTAAGGTGTCTCTGAGCTCTCAGATAGCCATTTTAATGAGTGAAGCTGCATAGCATGTGAGCTCCACCTCAGCAATTTCTTTGTCCTTATTTTACTGTTTCTTCACAGTGGCTCGCCTATCTGTGGATTCCATAGATTTTGACAAATGTTAACTCACAAAGTATCCCTTCTGATGTCTCTTTTGCTGGTTTCGCAAGCCGGGAAATTTTTATGGTAACTGCTTATTTGAGGAAAGTTTTGGCCTAGTCCTTCCTCTTATCGCATAGTTTCAAAATTTTACTTCTTAGGATATCTGTCCCGGGGCTTTGACTTGATGGTCCGAGGACTTACTACATGGTTTAAGTCTTTGAACAAGTAAGGTGATGGTTGCCTTGATTTTTTGTAGAAATAATACTGTGGTTGGCGTTCAAACTAGTTTTGATGATAATTTATTGCTACTCGTGCATATTAGCTTGTTCCCCAATTTCAATCATCATGGACTTGGAAGCATGAAGTCTGCTATAGGATGCTGAACTATTTTCTGTATGTGTTGTTGATATCCGAGTGTTTTATGGAGAAATCAATGGTCTAGGGGAAGAATTCATCTCTTAACTAGCATCTTAGTTCTTTAACCAACAGCGTCTTGCTCGACTAGCTTAATAAATATCAGATTCTTTCCCCAATTGCTGTTGCTTTTATGACAACCCACTAGCTTAAGCTCGTGGATTTTCAGAAATTTTTTACAGCAGGGACCAAGCTGGAGTATGGGTCTCTAGAGTATGTAATACAATTTGCTCATGATCTTGCTCATAGGGCTGCAGATAAGTCTGGCAGTGTTATGCTTCCTTCCCTGGTTTTTCTGTTACGAATGTTTGGATTGGTCCAAATGTCAATTGCCCCTTGATCAAAACCTTGCAATCCATCTCTTACCAAGTTGCCTTGTAATCTATCTTTTGCCAAGTCAATTGAGTTCAGTATACTTTTGTGCTGCTTTGTTTCGACTATTCTAGTTTCTTTTTTTCATCCTATTGTTGTATCTCTTTGAACCCAATGTGATAGTGCAGTCTAGTTCCTGCTAAAGAGTGCAGGAATTCTTGATTGACATGTTGTCCTCTTTAGCAAAGAGATTGGAGTGTTCATGACGCGTCTGGATTGACCAAATTGCGATGGAAAACATGGCACTCTCTGGTCAGGATTGCGTTATGTAGTACTTTCGAGTGCCATGTGAGGTCTTTAATGACGTACTTTCAACCCGACAATTTTTCATATTGATAGGCGACAAATCATGTGCTGCGGGGCGATGTGGGAGTAGCCGGCCACCGGTTTCGGCCACTGCCGATGGGAATGAATGGCGTGTGGTTCTGTGACTTGAGGCTTTCCCGGGAGCACGGGTTGTTATGACCTAGAATCGTGCAGATGTGCGGCTTCGCGTAGGCTTCGAACTTGCCGACATCGATGGCGGCGCTTTAAGTCAAGTTCTGCAGCTCAGTGCCATCGGTAGCGCACTTGAGCTGCGGGACTCAATTAAGCGGGTGATCGTTCGTGGAGGTGAGAACCCGAGTCGCGTGGGGATTTCGCGCAAACTCGAGTCGACTCGATTTGACACAGGGTTTTGAGCCGTGCAAATCGGATGCCTGAGCAATCTCGCTTTTCCGGACTTGTATTTGGTGATCATAATGGGGTGAGTTTGGGTGAGCCGTAAAATATTAATTAGAGTGTATTTCAAATAGAAGTGATGCAGGTAAGATACTCGTTTACGAGGGAAATCTATTTGCATAACGGGAGATTTTGTTTTATATCATTTCAAAGTATTCACAGTGAGATAATAATATGGTGATTATGTTTTGGATAAGCTTGTTTTTCCACTTAACCGCCCGGGAATCGAACCGGTCCAGTCCCTAGTTCTCGATTCTTGGGTGGGACCGAACTGGATCGGGAACCGATCACCCTTAAGCTAATGCTCAGAACGAAGCTCATTTTTATCTGACATCCGCATTTTATTTCAAACTTATGATTTTCGATAATGATGTAACGAGCCCGGTATCTTTTCAAGATCGCCCGATAAACGAGCTCCCGCATGTCGCGCGCACGCCTCGACGGGGCATAACTCTTCGAACCTCAAATTAACCGCCCTCGCCGTTACCAAACGGGCAGTCCGCTCGGCTCGAAGGGAGGCGGGCGGGACCCCGCCGGGCTTCTCCCCCCTGGCCCCTCCCGCCTCCGGTCCGGCGCACACGTGATGGCACGTGACCAGGCACGTGCGACGCGCCTTCTACTTCAACCGATATATCTCCAGGTGCTCCCAAAATTTTTTTTTTGATCTCTCTCTCTCCTCTTCTCTCTCTAAGCTCGCTCTCGCTTCGCCTCTCGTCGTCTTCTCCGATCATCTCCTCCTCCGCCGCCCGCCGCTGCGAGAGAGAGAGAGGACGAGCAAGCGCGAAGCGCGAGATCGCCCCCCGCCGTCCGGCCATCCGTTTCCGCGAAGATCCGGCGCTCCGCCCGATCCCCTCGCTCGCGCATCGAGCTCGCAGGATCCTAGCCGCCGCCGCCGGCTTCTTTCCCGGAGCTCCGGGAGCTGAATCTGCAGGGGGTGGTTCTGTCGATCTCCGCCTCCTCCTCTCTCCCCGCCGAGGAATCCGCGTGCGCTCCGGGCTGGGCGGTTTGGGGGGGGGGGGGGGGGGGCTTTGGATGAGAGATTGAGAGGTCGGAGGCGAGACGAGACGAGACGGGGACGAGCATGGAGATCGCCGCAGGCGAAGCGGCGTCCTTGGAGACCGACCTCTTGCAGCTCAATGAGGTGTCCCCCCTGGCTCTGAAATCGAACTCCGATTTCGTGGAGAAGATCTTCCAGCAGTGGCTCGCGCTCCCCGACAGCAACCGGCTGGTACTTGTCCCCCCTTCCCCCCCGACCATGCGAGACGAACTGAACCGAAATCTCGCGCTTTGATTTGCCGTTAAAAATGCATTGCGAGCGTGCCTTTTGCTTCTGATTTTCTGTGTTAGCCTGCGTGTGCATTCTGCTGTTGATTATGCATTACTTTGTCGAGATACATGTCTCGATTGTAGTTTCTTGCTAGGGATTTCGGTTGGTTAATGGGCATGTTCCAACTCAGAAGTCACCTATGTTTGATTGCATTGATGAGAGAAGAAATTATCTTTTTCAATCTTCACCATTTTATGCCGAGTTTCTTTTGTTAATCAGGCATTTATAGAAAAGTTGGTTTGAAACTTGGAGAAGCTGTCTTGGACTTTGTTTTTTCAAGTTTCGGATGATTATGGATGAGGAGTCTTATGGTGAATGTGTGTTAGAATTATGATGATGTTTCCTTTATGCCTTGGTTTAGGATCAGCAAATGGTTGATAAGATTTTTCTAAAGTGTTGGGTTAGAACGCAAATATTTTGGGTGCAATTTGAAATTTGGAGTTTTTTGGTTATGGATTAGAAATACCATGTGTAGAAGTTCTACACTAAAAGTTACAGTTTGGGAATTGGAAACATGTGCGGGATTTCTCTTGGGAAAATACTGTGTTGTCTTTCAGTGATTGGAATTTGTTTCTCAAAGAACAAAGAACTGATTAGGCATTGTGCGTCATTTGATGGCGAGTTTCTTTTCAAGTCATGCACTTATTAGAAAATTGGTCTGAAACTTGGAGAAGGTGTTTTGGGGTACTGATTGATGGGTTTCCAAAGGATTATGGATTATTTATCTTATGAAAGACACGTGTCGGACTTCTAATGGCGCTTTCATCATGCCTTAACCCAAAAGACGAGCAAGATTGAGGTTAAAGTTGCCTGAAGGGATCTAATAACTTTGAAAGATGGTTAGTATCCAATTGCTAGCATGGGACTCAAAAATTGGGGTTTTAGTAGGAATTAACCTATACCATGTTTCTGAGCTCTATCCTTAAAAGCTACGGTTAGGGAATTGAAACATTATGAGGAACCTTTCCTTTGGAAAACTGATGAAGCCTTCATTGAGTGGATGCAAACTTGACTCTCGAAGAAGGATGAACTAATATGAGAATTATGCATCATTTTGTGGCGAGTTTCTTGTCATGTCATGCATTTATTTAAAAGTTGGATCAATATTGATTTTTGAATTTCCAAATGATAAGGATGAGGTGTCTTCTGCAAAACATGTGTTGGAATACTTATGATGGGTTTGTTCATACCTTAGCCAAACACATGCTTAGTTGACATTAAAGTTGCTGGACATAATCTAATTACTTTCCAACGTCACGGTTATCTACCAATGAATATGGGATTCAAATTTGGCTTAGAGAGTCTTATTATGAAAGATGATTCTATATTTTATTTAATCATACGGGCGAGACAGCTTGGTGAGACTGAAAAACTCGGGCCAGATGCATTAAACTGTCAGAGGATTGATGTGTTTTTCCAATAATTCCTCCAAGTTCTGAAGGCAGACTTTACCTTGCTGATCTTCACTCACTTCTCTTTGCTAGAGTCTTAGTGAATGATGGAGGCAACATGGATTTGCCATACATTATAAGTACTACTAATGAGATCCAAATATTGAGTCATGACGTTGTTGGTCTGATCCCTTCTGTATATGAAAAAGGAGACATGAACAAGAATTGTTATTGCATCAAGGATGGAAGGAGATTATAACTTTAAAAAGAGAAATAAATAATTATACTTTCAACTTTTCGACTTTATTGGTGTACAGGATGTTGATTATGATGAAAATTGAATTCAAATTTGTCGTGATGAAAAAAGAACCTCACCATTAGAGGGTATAATGACTTGAGATGAACGATCATATCAAAACAAGACCAATGAAATTTATCAAGAATGTTCTACTAATTGGTGTATTAAGTGATGTGGCAAATTGCAAATGCGCCTTTGAACATGTGGGTCTTATTAAACATCCAATAAAGTTCTGCCACATCATTCAGTTTACCCTTTTTGTAAACAGGACCAGCATTATCCTTAAAATAGTATTCCAGTATTTTCCAAACTTCAGAGATTGATACCTTATTTAGTGAGAGGTGCTTCTTTTTTAAGACCTAGCAAATTTTCAGATCACAATTCAATAAATTTTCGAGTCCAAAAAAATGCGGCTTCCAATTGACAATTGAAATCTAATAATTATAATTGTCATCCAGCATGGAGCCTCAATGATGACAACTCAATTGCTCTAAGGTTAAGTTGCCCTCATAGCTTCTGCAACTTTTAAGAGAATTGTCATTTCCTGTGTATGTTTCCCAGATGCTCACATTAAAAGCTGTCTAGCAGCTCTGTGGCATCTATTAATGCTGAAAGCTAGGTCACAATTGATTTGTCGATAGTAGAGGACAGCTTGTCAATAAATCATGTCATAGAGAAAAAATAGGTCCTTACTCGATTAGTTATTGTGATAAGCCTTTCGAACATGTTTACGAATTCATGGACCTTAATGTGTGAGGATGCCATATGAATTTTGTTTCATGACATCCATAGTCAATGAAACCTGACAATGGGGAAGTTCAAGTGGTTTGATTGGGGGATGCTTGATGAAGTTGCTTTGATTGTGAAAGCTGGTGTTAAATTCATAGCACGATATAGGATGCTTCCTTGAAAATTAGTTGCTGTTTCTGGAAAATTCTTAACTTGCTTTTGATTGAACACAAATTGTCATAGTTGCTGGCTCTCTGAAAATATTAAACTAGAAGGCATAGATTTGCATGCATGCGTTCTTTTTCATGATCTTTGGTATTCTTTGAGTAATCTTGGATGTAGTGTCCCAAGTTTTTAAAACTTTCCTTTCCCTATGGTTTCAGGTGACATCATTGATAAATGATGCAAAGGCAGGTGCATCTCTGAATGCTCCTGGGAGCTCTTCGAGCACCAGTGCTGCTTCAGGCAATTCATTACCTTCCATGTTTGCTGCTGGAAATGCACCTCCACTTTCCCCTAGAAGTACACCCGGTTCCCCTAGAAGTGCATCCGGTTCCCCTCGTATAATGAAACAGAGAGCTGGCCCTTCTAATTTGGGTTCTCCTTTGAAAGTAGTTAGCGAGCCAGTTAAAGAATTAATACCACAGGTTTGAGAGATGCCAATTTATTCAGATGTACTCTTTGAACATAGCTGGAGAATTTTCCCTGCATCTCTAAAAGTAAGTTGCTTTTGATGTGGTTAATTGCAGTTTTACTTTCAAAATGGCCGGCCGCCTCCAAAAGAACTGAAAGAACAATGCATATTGAGAACCAATCAATTCTTTTATGCTCACTCCGATGGTTTGCAGATAAATGGTAAGAAGATACTGTTGGCATTCCTATTACTTTTACTAGTGTTTTCTCTGCCATCTATAATTCATTACTCTATCATTTCCTTGGTCTTTCAGACTTCAAATTAGTTACGAGGGAAATTTGCAAGTTGCCATCATTCTTCTCGACGTGTCTTTTCAGAAAGATTGATGTTAATGGCACTGGCTTCATTACGAGGTCTGCATTTCGTCATTTTCTACCTTTTTTAAATTAAGTTCTTGCTTGGTGATGTGGGTAGGGGATGCCAGTGGTAAGTTGTGATATAGCCAAACCAAAATCAAGTGATTTTGACTGAGCTGCCTTCGCTAACTTGTTCGATTCTGTCTCCTAAATGGCATGAGTAGGCTTCCAGTACTGGAAGATCACCAATATTTACTGCATGCGTTTCCACATTTTCGGCCTAAGCATACCATTAAATTTTGGATTCTGGCCCAATCATCGTACTAGTTTTCCAATTCTTCTATATAGAGCACCTTTATCGTTCCAGTTTCTTTATTTGCTCTCCTCTACAATTTGCTGTTTCCCGAATGTCCCTGTACACGCTTGTCCATGGGTATCTATGTCAACTTTGCTTTGAGAAAGAAGTAGTTATATCAGAGCAAACCCGAGAATAAGGCACATGGTAGTCCTTGTGAATTTCAAATTATTTGTAGTAGTGTTTCCTCTTTGACTTCATGGTAATGTGATTTTCTTTTGGAAAGTTTCCAGACAAAATCACTGACTTTATGTTTTAATTTTCTGGAGAAAGGGATGCAGTAGTTGATTGCATTATTGGTGGCTCCAATTTTGGTACAATGTTTTCTCACTGTAGCAGCTACCAAAACATTAATACTATTTTCCTAAATTAGTGGTCCATGACAATTTTGTTGAGAAAATAAATTCAGCACTCTCAGGCCAAATCCTCTTCTTTAACAAGGAAAATCATAATATACTTAACTCACTCAGACTAATAACCCACTTGGGTCCCAACTCACCTGAGTCATGGTCGGTAAGTCCTCAAAAATGCTATTTTTATGATGCTGCGCATTTTCTCTTTTCATTTACTTTTCTAGTTTGCATGGCCTTTCAAATTGTCCATGGATTTTTTTCATTATCTTTTTCAGAAGCCTCAGAAATATGCTGCAAAGGTTAAAGACGGTTCTTACAATTACGATGGTATTTGAATACCACTACCTTACGCTTCAGTTACTTGAGTGCTCAAAGTATCTTAGTTCCTGATTTTTCTGAAGCCATCAACTTAATTCGAATTTTTGGGACCATGGCTTTTTGGTACAGGGAGGCAATACTGTCCCCTTGATCTTTGACAATTTTATAACCATCCTACTAGTTAACTGTCAGAATCTTACACTTTCATGCACCCAGGCAGGTTTAGATAGTGAGTGAGCTTGCGAACTTGAGTTGGAGCTATAGGTATCAAAACTCAAAAAGTTGGATGATCGAGAGTGAGATGTATAAACAAATGCATTACCTGCTAATACTTGTGCTATTGCTGATAATGTTGGTGGAATAACATAAACCTAGCGGTGTAGCTGACACCTATTCCACAAGCACAGATAGAGCATGTTTAGACTTTCCTTCTTCATATTTGCATTCTTCTCAATTGGCTAATATATGTTGGGGTGAAAAATTGGTTCTCACATGAGCTAGTGATGTATGTTTTGTAGAGGCCAATTGAAATTCAGATTCCCTTTCTCGGCTGTTGTTTCATCATTTTTCTCCTAATTAATATTGTTGTTGTTTGTTGGGCTTATCTTTGCTCTATAATTGACTGATAGGGATGCGTTTGCTGATTACTGGATAAATGGGAACATGTTGACACTGGATGTAGCAACTCAAATCTATAAGATTTTGAAGCAACCAAATCTCAAGTATCTCACTCAGGTTCAATATGTTTTCCTTACTCACGTTTTCTCTGATCCTTCTCCTCTGTAGGTTGCAGTTTTGGGAACTTTTTGGGGTTATCTTACTTTTGCAACTTGTTATTGACTAGATTGGTGTATATATACTGTTTTAGTTTCTGATATGTTGTGTTTTCCGACTTTTCCATAGGATGACTTCAAACCTGTGCTTCGAGAGCTTTTGGCTACTCACCCTGGACTGGAGTTTTTGCAGACCACGCCTGAGTTTCAGGAAAGATATGGTTTGTTCCTGACCTGTTGTAGAGATTTTAGTTATTCTAATATGATTTATGGTCCTTTTGTGCTCCTCAGATTTGCTCATATGCCATTCTAGTTACTTTCAGTGAATATTGTTACTATATTTAAAATGGAGTTTATATTATGTGATATGATGTTCTTTCCTTTATGCTCCTCATTTACCCATATGCCGTTCTAGATGCTTTCAATGAAAAATGTGGCTCTGTGTAGTAAGTAGTTTGTGACTGAAAAATAGAGATTGCAGTAGGTTGGGTCTTATAGGGTACCCGACTTGTCCCGAACCCCAATAGGACTTAAAATGGGTTGCACTTTAGGGTTATGGGACGGGTTAGGATTTTATTTGCAGAACCTTATAGGGTTTGGGACTTGTCTTGCGGGTATCCCAAAACCTGAAAAGTGAGACCTATTTTATCTTTTTTGATTTGTAGAATTTCTGGAAGAATTTGAAATTGAAAGAATTTGAAATTAAAGTGGTTGCATAATCTAGATTTCCATGATTGGGGATGTGTAATCAAGTGGTTTGCTGTTTATATTGTGCTAGACAATGTTTGAAGAAGAATTGAATAACCACATTGGTTTCGAGAACCTGTCAAGAACCCAATAACTTAAGTGGGATGGGTTTAGCATTCCATTTGCAAAACCATATAGTTTTTGGGATGGGTTTGGAAAATACTCAAAAGCTAGTGAGACGGGTTGTTCCAAACCCATTCCGCTTCCATCCCTACTAAAAAGGGGGTATCTGGTGCACATGGCTCCCACTGCGGGGTTTTGGGGAATGGTTGATGTATACAGCCGTACCTGTTTGGTTTCAGAAATTGCTTTTGGTGAAAATGTAAATGAAAATAGTTGTCGTTAGTTTCCTATTTCCATGAAAATGTGTTTGTTTCATGAAAATGAGAATATTCTGTTTTGGAATAAATTGCAAAACCATGTTTGGATGCATTTGAGTTTCTTCATTGGTTTAATATCAAGTCTCACTATATTTCCAATCATCTGATGAAATATCTAAGAATTATTAAAATAAGGATATCGATAGAAACAATTATTTACAAATTATCTAAGTTCATAATTAAATACTAAATAATTATTAAGTAAAGGTCATAAAATATTGTGATTGTCTTTTCTCATGAATTAAACATTGTTTGGTTAGTTTTCGTTGCCGAAATAGATAGTACTATTTTCCCCTTGTAGTCGCAAGTTTGGCTCATTGAAGGGAAATAATTTCATGAGGAAAAATGTGTGTCAGGTGTTGTTAACAACCCTTATCAGAACAAAAGATCTTTGTTTGTGACTTCATCCCAATGACTTAACAAAACTAAATTTGCCATGGCATCTATAAAGTCTGATTACACGGAGTGCATTCTGTATCCATCGATCATAAAGAAAAAATATGTTCTGCTTTCTGACACTTAGGAAGTAAATTTCACTGTTAGTAATAATGTAGGTACTAACTATACTGAGGACTTTTTGATTAAATTATTTCCGCAGCAGCAATTTTTTATGACATTTAATAATTCTATATTGGTTTATGATTTGCCGGTTAAAAAGTTGCTCTCAGTAGTTATGGGAGCATCGTTTCTGATAGCCTAGCCTTAATAGTTTTTCCTGCTTCTTGCTTCAGCTCAATTCTGATTCAAGTCTGTTAGACTCTATATTTTGTTTTTCTCCTTCTCTATATATTTAATATGACTTTCTTTACCATGCGCAGCTGAAACAGTGATATACAGAATATTTTACTACATAAATAGATCTGGAAATGGCAATCTGACTCTCAGGGAATTGAAACGTGGGAACTTGATTGATGCAATGTTACATGCAGATGAAGAAGAAGATATAAATAAAGTCTTGAGGTAAAAAAACGTACGATGATGTTTTCTCCTAGTTATTCATTAGGCATTTCTGTCCCTGCAAAATTTTCACGTTGGGGCTTGTCCATCCATTTCTTCATAGGCAGATTTGTTTAATTGTACATCAGTAAAAGCCCCCAAGAGTTATAATCTCTCCGTGAGATCGGTTCATGCATAATCTGATTCTTCTGCATTGGTCTCTAAAAGTAGCTATGTGATGGATTAATTATGTAGTTGAGAAAGTAATGGTGCTGCCAGAGTAATCTTTTGTGGTGTTTGCTTTTACAAATATTCTCTCTGCTTGCACCATTGATACTTTAATACCTAATGCAGGTATTTCTCTTATGAACATTTTTACGTCATATACTGCAAGTTCTGGGAATTGGATACAGATCATGATTTCTTGATAGATAAGGAGAACCTTATCCGATATGGCAATCATGCACTTACCTACCGAATTGTAGATAGAATATTTTCTCAGGTTTGTGTCTACTGGATGTAATTACTTGACCCAGATTCCTGCTATGATGGACAACTTGGTGCTTATGGAAATTCTCTCTTTTTTTCTGAATGATCTCAGGTCCCGAAAAAATTCACCAGCAAAGTTGAAGGGAAGATGGGTTATGAAGATTTTGTTAACTTCATACTGGCTGAGGAGGATAAATCTTCTGAGCCTAGTCTTGAATACTGGTATGTTAGGTCTCCTAATACTGTAAACCCATTTAGGCATTGCTGAGTGATGAATCTTGAGGTCATTGAAAAACTTGTCCAGTTGTGCAACTCTTAGTTGGATAACGCAGAAAGGAAATTGTTAAGTTCTCTAATTTTTTTCAGTAAGTGTATTTTTCTTTTAGCAATTCATCTAGAGGCTGAAAACAAAGGAGGTGTTTTGTTCGATGATAAGAACTCTTCTCTATGTGTGCAGGTGTATGTGTGTGTATGGGGTGAGTGTGGGTGGGCACATGGGGATTGTGTGTGTATTGGGTGAGTGTGGGTGGGCACATGGGGGGTGTGTGTGTGTTGGGTGAGTGTGGGTGGGCACATGTATGTGTGTGTGTGTGTGTGTGTGTGAGAGAGAGAGAGAGAGAGAGAGAGAGAGAGAGAGAGAGAGAGAGAGAGAGAGCATATAAGAAATGTAGGCATTCTGTATTGCATGTAGTACTTCAGTATTATCTGGCCAGATTGAAAATCTTCCGAGGTTTATACTGTCAGTATTTTCATGGATCGTGCGTCCATATTTTCTTGATCATGCTTCTATATCTTCCAAGGTTATGTCTAATGCAAATTTCTGATGATCTGATTTCAAAATTTTATGATTGTGTTTTATGCTGCGACATTTTTGTACATGTTTTTTACCTTGAATATAACTTGATTTCTGACTTTCTTGCTTAGGTTTAAATGCATAGATTTGGATGGAAATGGAATTTTGACCCGAAATGAATTGCAATATTTCTATGAGGAGCAGTTGCATCGTATGGAGTGCATGGCTCAAGAGCCTGTGCTCTTTGAGGATATTTTGTGTCAGATAATTGACATGATTGGGCCAGAGGTTTGCTCTGTTTTTCTTCAGAACTATATTGTACATGGGATTTATGTTCTACAATGGATGAGGAGAATGTTGAAGAATACTGCTAATGTCTTGTCATCGATCTTTTCCTTTGATTACATGTTACTTGTATAAGTGCATATTTTAGAGTACATGCCTGCTAGATACTGATTTATCTATGTGAGCCCTTGAGTATGTTTCCAGGGAATTAGTATCAAAATTGCTTGGATCTTGCAAATTTGACCACATTAAAGTGGTACTTCTTTAATTGCTTATCTTACTGTAATTAACAGTTTAAAAGCCCTTGGTTGCAGAATGAAAGTTATATCACATTGAATGATCTGAAAGGCTGCAAACTCTCGGGAAGTGTATTCAATATTCTTTTCAACCTCAATAAATTTATGGCTTTTGAGACCCGTGATCCATTTCTCATTCGTCAGGTAGGAATTTTCCATATCATATATTAAAAAAATTCTACTACTTTTTCATTAGACAGGAATGATTGTTTAATTGGCGTGGTTGTCAGCTTTATACTGGTTTGATATTTCTACCTGAAACAGGAAAGGGAGAATCCAATGTTGACAGAGTGGGATCGCTTCGCCCATAGAGAATATATTAGGCTTTCAATGGAAGAAGATGTTGAAGATGCCTCTAATGGAAGTGCAGAAGTATGGGATGAGTCCCTTGAGGCTCCATTCTAAGAGCGATTGGGTAAGATAGTATATGATGAGTTTATTCTCCCAACCTTTATCCAGGCTTGAGGATAAATGATATGAGAGATGAGCATGACTTAGCGAGAGACATTGTTGGCCAATTGAATAAAAAGAAGAAGACCCTGGTCGCTGAAAAAGTTTTCCTTTTTACACTTGATATGCGTAGTTGGTCTCTTTTCATATTTTTGATCGGCTATATCTTTCTCTATATATAAAAAACAATCATCAGTTTTGTTTATCAAAGTTGCCCATGTAATTCCATGAATTGCCCATCCACTAAATTTATTTAATGGATGAGAAAACTTTCTTAAAACCTACGTCTATGGTTTTAGTAGATAACTTGATATTCACTTTCCTCCCAAAATTTCGGTCCACTTTTGCATCGTATCTTCTAATGTGTTAGTTTTATTTTTTTTTCCTTTCAAACATGACTAGTCTAACAGATGATTATAAGTTTGAAGGATAATCAGGTTTTTGTTGAAAAATTGTGGAATTGTTCTGCCATGTTTAATTATCGACTTCATTTGCACGCTTGCAAGTCTCTAATGATCTTATTTTGTGGCAGTTTTTTAAGAAGAGAAAAAATCATCATCGAGAACAGGCAACGAAGCAAGAGAGCCAACCTGGAATGAATTACCCGATGGATTCTCATTCACCTATAAACTTGTTGAGAGGAGGAACTTCTGCAGATGGTCAAGATGGCCTGCCACAGAGCAGAGGCTTCTCTAAAAAATTGGACGTGGGCTGATATTTGGACTTTCGGCGATAATAACAAGTACCAAATTAACATTTCTGTGGAGGAAATATCGGCCTAAACTACACTCAATTAAAGTCCAATTCGAAGCATTGACGCCATTGGTGATCTTCTTGCCAGTTTCTGAGATATTTGTTTCTCTAGCATAAGTGGTTGGTGCTTCTCTTAATAACTTAAGTTTTGAACATCAGTTTGGTGATTCTTCTAGTACTCAGAAACTGGTACAATCATTTGGCAAGGTTGGAGAGGTAGGCAATTCTTTCCGTTTTTCTTTCCCTTTTCGTTGGTAGATTGTTCGAATAATGGTTATTTATGAATGGGTTTTGGTAGTTTAGAAGAAACCAATCACCGTAATAGTGATAATAGATCATGTTGTGACTGCGATTTTATGATCTGAAGGCATATGTTCTGTTCTTTCTTTTTGGTCGGATGCTTGTCTCTTTCTTTTCCGGTGTTTTTCGACTATGACTTTGTGTATTATGTTCTTTTCTTATCAGATGCTTGTTTATCGATAACATGATGTCAGCAACAGCTCGTTTTCAGAGAAGTCTGCCACAATATATAAATATTATGGTGAAAATGTTATGTCCATGTCTCTAAATCTAAATCTGCTAGTAAGTTTGCATTACACTTACTTTTTCCGCTATTGGTTGGTGTTCTTTGTGGCGATATCAATGCCACAACCAGCAGAGATTTTTTCTTCTTTTTTTTTGTGTGAGCGCCGTGGAGATCAATATATTTGTGGATTGTGGATGCGTGGGTAGACATGTTTCAACGAGGCATTGCCTTAGTAATATTTGGGTTTACATGATCTTTAGTGCCTTTGTTGGTCTTTGATTGGCGACACGTAAGAGAGTTCGTAGAAAAGCTGTAGAAGTGACCCTATCCATGCTCAAGCGAGGGCGAGGATTCTCATTACTCTGAATGGTGTAAATCTGTGACATGAGTGTCATCTTCATGAACATTAGCAATTCTTTACACAATTTTCAAATTTCACGTCTCGAAATATATCCCTATAACTACACGCAATAGTTTACTCCACTAGTATTGAGCTTTTCTCTTAGGTTCAATGTCTTACAATCAAAATGATACATGCGTCATAATATGCACCTGTGCGCAAAATGATATATGTGAACTAAATCTTGTGGAGGCAGGTAGCCAAGAGCATGTTTAGCCCCAGTGTTGAAAGCAACATTTGCCATCTGAGAAAATAAAATTTCTCCCCAAAGATGTCTCTGGTCCGTCATTGCGAAGATCTGTGTAGGCGCCAGTCGAATACGCTTAAAATCCCAGCGACATGGTCCAAGATACCACCACATTACGACCTTAAGTGCAGAACATATTCCTAGTGGTCTAGCGAAAGCCTCCTCGCCGGTTGCCATGTTCATCCCAAACAAGACCGCCAGCGGCTGCTTTACTGGGTTGCCACGAGCGGCCCCATCCGTATTGAGTTCGACTTGCTCTCACAAGGAGGTGGCAACTTAAGGCCGGATGGAATGAAAGGATGGTAGATTGCGCGATTCTCCATCCACATTTGGAAAAGTTACGTTAGGTTCTTAGTAGCAATTCCTTGCAAAGATGACTCGTCAATTCGAGACACAACTTAAGCTACTTTCTGTAATGCATTGAGAACGGTGTCCATGCATTTGCAAATCAACACATGGCAAGCTTGGAAGGGTTCGACAAAGTAACTTGATTTAGTACATTAGATGTGACAGCGTACCCCTTCAACGTGACATGTCCTAGGATTCGAGATCATCATGAAAAATAAGAGTAAGACCAAATGAAGACTTTCATAGGAGACCATTGGAGCAGCCAATCGTAATGCTCCTAGAGAGGCATGTTTCAATTCGAGTTTAAATTTTGATATATCGTATCATATCGGAATGTCTGCCTTGACTTGATCATCGACTCAAGCTGTATTTGCGAAATCAAAAATCATGAAAGGCTAAGCACATGGTAGATTATGAGAATGGAACCATGCACTCTTTCTTTCGTAGCTTCTCTACTTCATCCCACTTTAGGTGCGACTTCTCCACGACGCTAAACGCTAAGGGACCTCGAGAGCAAAACCTATACGACATATTTACCCGCACATAATGCACCGTATAAGAAGTTACGACGAAGTGGAGCTCGGAGTAAGAAGTTTTCAACATGGGGAAACCCTAATAAGCCCAAAAAGTTTGACTAATAAAAATAAAAATAAAAATAAAAATAAAAACAGACGAATTCTATTCATCGGGTCCGTGCGAAGTCAAAACTAAAAGCTTACGATCTCTCTCTGCCTGCTTTCTCCTGCTTCTTCTTCTGTGCCAACGTCGCTCCAGAAGCCAGGAAGAGGTCGAGAGATGAAGGTGGCGGCGCTGGTCAGCGGCGGCAAGGACAGCTGCTACGCCATGATGAAGTGCGTTCAGTACGGCCACCAGGTACTTCCGTCATCTTGTCGTCGGTCGTCGTCGTCGTCGTCGTTGTTCTTGTGGTGGTTTGGGGTGTTTGGCTTTTGAGCTTTCCCGAAGTTCGATTGATGCGCGCGGTATGATGATGATGATGATGAGGATGATGGTCTCCTGAACTTTTTCGGACTTCAGATTGTGGCGCTCGCGAATTTGATGCCGGCCGACGATTCTGTGGATGAGCTCGATAGCTACATGTATCAGACTGTATGTCCCTCTCTCTCTTTCTCTCTCTCTCTCTCTCTCTCTCTCTCTCTCTATTTTTGTCAGTATACGTTTGTTTTTTTGCCCAATTTATATTTGGAGTTGTTCTGATGGAGTGATGAGTAGCGCGCGACGGTTGTGTGCGGGGATTAGATGAACGAGCTCCGAGTTGCGAGGCAACCTTGAATGCGCTTCGAGTTTCGTGGTTTGCTCGGGTCATGGATTTAGTCGGTTACGGTATTGTCGATGGAAGCTTCTCTGTGCATCAAGATGGTTTCTGGAGAACTTCTTGTGTTGTAGGCGTGATCGGAGATTGGCATCCTGTGCGCTTGCGCTTTGCGTGATAATCGCGTAATATAATCTATGGTTTTCTGCCATTATTGCTTATGTGTTTTCTTTTTGGACTCTTTTTAATCGTATTAATCTCCTAAGGATGTTAATTGGGAAGTCAGATGAGGCGCGAAGATAGGTAAAGGGAATTGTTGTGTGAAGAATGTTATGATGGGAAATATTCATGGCCTGCTGCCATATGGACTTCATGAATCTGATGTTTGACATCTTTACGATTCGTGATATGAGTAAAGTGCTTCGTTTACATCGAGGTTTTAACATGTTGGATTTTGCTGACTTTGGGCTGTTTTACATTTCTGATGTCAGGTTGGGCACCAAATAATTGTCAGTTATGCGAATTGTATGGGAATTCCATTGTTCAGAAGACGAATACAAGGATCTACGAGGCAAGTTTTTGTGCTCGGTTGTTTGTAGTGGTGGATATGTATAAGTAATTTGTGCCATACATCCTCCCAAAGAATGAATGCAAGAGACTTGTGGCTAGATAGTACAATTACTTGCAGCTGGCTTTAGATTATTTGATAGATCATTTTTTATTTTATTTTTCATGTTGTTTAGGGAACAAAAAGAGGTGAGATGAGTAATAAAGTTCCTTGAGATGACGAAAGAACAAGTTAAATGGCTTTTTTTACTGTCCCCTACTGAACTGCGATGATTTGACCTTGAGGGTGAATTATTTTAAGGCCAACCCAAGGCCACAAGGAAAGCCGGTGTCAATTGGCTTACCTAATTTTTCGGACAACACTATTTTTGTTTTTCGAAATAAGCAAATTGTTCCTTTCTTAGGGTCTTTACAGAGTTACGGAAAGCATCATCACTAGCTTTGGATAAGTAATTTTAGTCATTATGATTGATGCTGTCGTTATCCACATCCCCCGGCATACATCTTCCATTCCAGTACAAATTACCCGGCCATGTTACTTTTTCTCTCAGAGCAAAACGACCTGTTTAATTGTCGCAGCTAAGAATTTGACTGTTACGACAGAGCCATACCATTTCTTGTATAATTTTTCATATATTGGACAATGTGCTCAGACAGGCACCAGAAGCTTTGCTACAGTGCGACTCCTGGGGATGAAGTTGAAGATATGTATGAGTTGTTGAAAGAAGTTAAAAAGAAGATACCATCAATTGAGGCGGTATCTTCGGGTGCTATAGCTTCTGATTATCAAAGGCTACGGGTGGAAAGTGTCTGTTCAAGGTTAGGGCTTGTTTCTCTGGCATATTTATGGAAACAGGATCAATCATTGCTTCTTCAAGAAATGGTAAATCGTTTTATCATTTGATGACATTAGATAGTTGTTCAGTTCATTTCAACTTACAGGATTCCTTCTTTTGTTAAATCAGATTGACAATGGAATAGCGGCTATTACGGTGAAGGTGAAACTTTTATTTGAGCTGCTGCATCTGTTTCTTTTTTATATTGTAGTGCTTCACTTTACTCTTTTTATACAGATTAGTAAAGGTATAGCCTGGAGCCATTAGTACTATAATTTGAAATATTTATTTTGTGAGGTGAAAGTCATGCTAGAATGAGACTAACAAGGATATGAATTTTGGATTCATGAACTGAAGTCAATGCATTGCCACCGTGGAGCTTTGCCTTTAGACCTGTTTGCCACTTCATTACTGTGCATTTATCGATCGAAATTTGTATCATTCTTGTTTCGGCATTCGAAAGTAGAATGCTATTTTTTTCTCATCTATTGTTTCCACAGCACTTATTTTACCTCAGAATTTACTGTCCCTTCTTCTTTCTTTCTTTCTTTCTTTCTTTCACCTGTCTTTTTTCTCGTCTGTAAAAAGTCTGTTTGCAGTAAGCTCTTTGGTGACATAGTTGCTGCTGAAGATGGATGTTATGATTTGAAATGGTGGCTAGTAAAGTACTTAGAGTGTGCAAATTGGGTTGAAAGATGAACTTCAGGTTGGCTAAAAGCCTAAAATACAAACAGTTGATGAGTCATTCTAGGTTTATTTGACATGCCTCTGGATGTTCTTATGCTTTTTTAGCTGTCAAGTGTGAGTGGGGATCTAGCATAGTGATTCTTAGCCAAAAGTATTTATTTATAGTGTTTCTATTTTTTCTTTTGGTCGGAATAGTGTTTGTATTAGATGTTTGTTATTTTCTCTTCTAAGATAAGACAAGTTGCCTTTGGATGTGACAGGTGGCAGCTATGGGGTTGAATCCTACCAATCATTTGGGGAAAGATATTTCTTTTTTGTACTCATACCTCCATAAGTTGAAAGAGTATGTAATGAATTCTCATTTTAAAGCATGTTGTTATCTTCTTGTTGTGCATTGAATGTAATTTTATGGGCTCTTTTTTTTTTTTTTTAAACTTTTAAATCTTGGGCAGGTTGTATGGAATTAATGTTTGTGGAGAAGGAGGAGAGTACGAAACTTTAACCCTTGATTGTCCCCTCTTTGTGGTAAGTTTTATTCTTGAACTCATCCATGAAATGGGTTAACCCTTGACTGTCTATTCTTTCGTTTTCTGCACTTCACAATCTGCTCCCCATCCTTTGTAAAGGGATATACTGTGATGAAAGGCAAATTACTAGAATCCGAAACAAAAAGTAAATTACTCTTGTGCTGGGCTCTATAGATGTGGTTACTTCGTTTACTTTGAAAAGTATTTTGCTGATATACTAGGCTCTATAGTTGTTTTTACTTAGTTTACTTTGGGAAATGAGTTCTTATGTTTTTGCTTTTAAATTCTACACAAACCCATGTACATTTGCGCAAACAAAAGCAGTTTGATGAAAAACACATTACTGATATGCTGGACTCTACTGTTGCTTCTACTTCATCTACTTCAGGAAATAAGTAACAAGCTCTTTGATTTTAAATTCTCCACAGACCTCTCTCTCTCTCTCTCTCTCTCTCTCTCTCTCTGTGCGTGCGTAGGTGCTTACATTGTTTTGGATAAGAAAAGTGGTTTCTGGTCAATATTCTAAAATATGTTAGGTTCAAAACTTCTTCAGAATGCTCGAATCGTGCTTGAAGAATTTCAGGTTATTCTGCACTCTTCGGATTCTATAGCTCCTGTTGGAATCCTACACCCATTGGCTTTTCATTTGGAAACTAAGGCCGAATCCGCATCTCTGAGTGGTTGTGACAAAATGAATGATCTCCATCATGAGAATATGGGTTTAGTGTATGAGGTACAAGCTGAGAGTTTGGAGGGATGTGAGGATGCTATGGAATCTGTTGCTGATGTAAATGTTTTGACCAAAGCAGCAGATGATGGACTCCAGATCTCAACTAAGAAAGAGGACCTTCCATTCTCCATTTCTTGCTGGTTGGGAGCTTCAGAAAAAGCCTCTTCAGGTAAAGATCAATGTACTTAGTCTGCAGTAACAGTATATGGTTTTCTCTCCTTTTTGTTTGGCTCGTCAGTAAAAGTTTATCGTTGATCTTCATTTATATGCAACTTTTTGCAGCTCTTGATGTTTTCGATAATTGGCAGGTTTGCAGGATGACCTTGAAAGTGTTTTAAGGAAGATTGAAAAAGAACTTTCGGGACATGGTTTGGACTGGAGGAATGTTCTCTATGTTCATCTCTACATATCTGATATGAATGAGTTTGCTGTAGCAAATAATACGTATGTCAAGTTCATCACACAGGAGAAGTGCCCCTCTGGTGTACCATCCCGCAGTACGATTGAGCTTCCTCTGCTTCATGTAGGCCTGGGAAAGGCCTATATTGAAGTTTTAGTCACGAAAAATCAAGAGAAAAGAGTCCTTCATGTACAAAGTATATCATGTTGGGCACCTAGCTGCATTGGACCATACAGCCAGGTAATTCCCTTCGTCGGTTATGCTTTTTTATCAGTATTACGTTGGGCTCCTCTAAAGTAAATTTAATCTACGTGCATGTGGACCAATTACATACAGAGTATACTTGCATGGAAGAAATGAAAGCCTCCAGTAATCAGGATAATGATGCACCATTTGTGACGTCAATTGCCATCAATGCTTAAGATATTTCTGTACTTGAGTTAATTTGTAACTCTATGATTACCTCTGGTTCTCTACTGGATGCCATTCTCTCTCTCTCTCTCTCTCTCTCTCTCTCTCTCTCTCTCTCTCTCTTTGCCCCACTATACTGAATTGATTTTCCTGAGTTTGTTGTTATTTATAGGCAACCTTGCACAAGAATGTACTTTATATGGCTGGGCAACTGGGGCTTTACCCTCCAACAATGACTCTCAGCAAAGGAGGTGCTGTAGCTGAGTTAGAGCTAGCACTAGAAAACAGTGAAGCTGTGGCTAAATGTTTTAATTGTTCAATATCTACCTCTTCTGTTCTGTTCGTCGTGTACTGCTCAGAATCTATTCCCTCATCAGAGAGGGGTAAAATTCAGGAGAAACTGGAGGCATTCCTTAAGCAGATTAGGTCTAGCCATTTGAAAGAAGGAAATTTGCCGAAGGTGCTCGATCACTTATCTCTGTATGTCCTTGTGCCTGATCTGCCAAAGAGGTAACTGAGTATAATTGGTTATACAATTTTTTCATCCTCTACTTTTGGCTTCTCTTTTTCTTTCACTTCCCTCCAAAAGATTATTGTATACATCTCCATAAAATTATTTGAGTAATATACTGCACAACTGTAATGGCCTTCGGTAGAAGGACTTACTGTGCTCAGGTTTATTTTTAAAGACACCTAGTCACCAAGTTTTGGCATTGGAAACTGCAAAGGAGGTTTTCTACGTTATCAAACCAGCCCTCATTGTTTGTGTGGTAGAATGTACATGTTCGAATTGAGCCTACCGCAGTCAACCTTTCTTAATTTATCCAAACGTCTAACCCCTTGAGCAATAAAAAATCTGTGGTTTAGAACCAGCTGATTTGGTTACCAATCGTACTTTCTAGCACGAAAGATGTGACACAGATAGTGGATAGTCCGCAAATGCAAGATTATCTGCAACTTAAAGAAGTCATGGCATCTTCTTACCTTTCTCTGTTTCTTAGCAGACAAATTTAAATGTTTTGATATGTGAAACTTGGCTCATTAGACTATATGAATGCTGATCCACAAAACCTGTGAGACGAGAGGAAAGAGAGAATTTTAAATTTTTTGTTCTGAATTACAGAGAAGGCAGTATAACCTTACGAGAATATACTTCCTCGAACTTCCTGACTTTTACAAATCTCGCATGTGCATATTGAAAAGGATTACTTATTTAGTTGTCCCATGTCCACATCTACTTCAAGTGTATTCTCAGTTGACTTTACATTGTTGCAGAGCATTGGTAGAAGTGAAGCCATTACTATATGTCATGGATGATGCAGAAACGGTAGCTGAAGGCAAGTCTCTAACGAGAACGAGCAATTCGAGTTTTCAGCATGAAAGCTGGCATGATTCTTGCATTAACAGACTTATTGTCAATGGGATGATCTGTGCGGTAGTATTGTCAGTCACAAATGAGACTGCTGTAAGGTTATGTTCTGAGTTTCTTGCCGCCAATCGGAAAAGTGATCACATTCAAAATCTTATATCAGAGAGGCAAATGGAAAGAATATTAAGATTTTGCATTTATCTCCTTGATAAAATTCTTGCAGAGAACAGTTTCTTTTGGGAAGAAATTGTGGTAAGTTATTTCTTTCATTTTCTAATTTGATTCCCCATATTTTACTATATTTGCACATGATATCTTGACCATTCACGCTTCACACATTGTGCCAAGTTTCAATTTGATGAATCTTGAGTATTGTCAAGCTGCTCATCCTCCTCTAGGAAAGAAAAATATTCTGCTACTGATTTTTGCAGAGCATTAGAACAGATTTTGTTCAAAATATCAATTAACAGGTTTCTCTGAGGTCCTGACTTAATATTTTTGAGTGATTAAAGCAGTTGGGTTCTTGATGAAGCAAAGTTTGTATGGCAAAATTGAATCCTATCCTCCAAATAGTCGTACATGTCAAGTTTTACGGCCCATCCTTTGCGATAGCTTCTTTCTCTGCTGTAAATCATTCTTATGAGTTCCAGTGAGAAGTGAATCTTCTCTCTTTAGAGGCGACATCTTCATTTTCTTACTAATATCTGTTCTCCCCTCTCTCTATTCTTTGCTTCTCTTTTGTAGAGCCTAAGGGTCTATTATCCAGTGAGCCTGCAAATTCCCCTGGATACGTTAGCGCTGATTATCAAGAACGCCTTTAAAGAACTCGAAGAGATACGTCGGCTACCTATCTTCAACCTCATCCCTGTCTTAGGTGCCGGGAGGTCTACTTCCATGGACGATCTGATAACATGGGAACTATTTGCACAAAGGACGTGACTTACACAAACTTTCCTGTAACTTTATATTTCCAATCTTGGACGTTCTGGCTGGTCATGCTTATTTTAAATGGTTATAGGAAGTGACTGTCTTAAAGAACTCAGTATGAATTTTGATGATCACGGCTGCATTTCAGTTCGCTTTCCTAGACCTATTTCTGCGGTTTTTGCTGTTACTAAGGGTGTGTTTGTTTTGGTGAAATTGTTTTTCGGAAAAGTGTTTTCCGGACTTTCATCCGTTTGGTTGTTCGAAAATGATTTGGTCAATCGAGAACACTTTCCGGTCAAAGAAAACATTCATATATAAATTTATGAAAGTGAAGTCCCTACTTCAAGAAGGTGAAAACACTTTTCGAAATTAATTATCTTAAATTTGTCAATATTTTATTTCTCTTTTCTTTTTTCTTTTTTCTTTTTTCTTTTTTTTGCTTTTCTTTTCTTTTTCTTTTTTTCTTTTTTTCTTTTTCCTTCTTCCTCCTAGGCCGGCGACCGTTGACTGGCCACAAGCGTGGGCCGGCGACTGCCGAGCTCATTGGCCTCGGGCAAGGTCAAGCCTCGCCGAGATCTAGCGAGCTCGAGCTCGCTGACGTCGCATGAGGCCCGACCTTGCCGCCTCCACCTCGCCTCGACCTCGCCCGAGGCCGACAAGCTCGAGGCTCGGTAGATCCAGGTGAGCTAGGGCTCAATTGAGATCGGCGAGCTCGCGGCTCGCTTGAGGCCGGCGAGCTCGTTGCTCGCCTAGGGCCGTCTTCGAGGTGTCGCCGGCCGGTCGCGGCGGAGGAAGGAGGAGAAAGAAAAGGAAAGAAAAGAAAAAAGAAAAGGAAAGAGAAGAAAAAAGAAAAAGAAAAGAAAAAAAGAAAAAAAATTAAAAATTCGAATTTTTTTCAAAAAGAAAATAAAAAAAGAAGTTAAAAATAATTAAAAATTTTGATTTTTTTAAAATAAAATAACAATAATTAAAAAGTTCGATTTTTTTTTTCGCCTGAAAATGACAATTTATTTTTAGGTTCAGTTTATTTCGTGGAAAATTTGACATTTTTGAAAATATTTTTCAAGAAGTTCCAGAAAAATGACAATATTTATCATTATTTGGTTGAAATCTGAAAATAAACCTTAAATTATTTTTCAATTTATTTTCTTAAATAGACAATGCACTATACTTATAATACAAGGGAGCTAGGCTTGACTTTGCAGGATTAGGGCCTGAGTTTTGGACAAGGGTCCTCGGCGTGGGCACTAGTGACTTAGGCGCGGGGTGCAAGAGCCACATACTAGGGCATGGCCACTGGGCCCCGAGCACATGCATTGGGGTTTTAAGGCTAACCACCTTGAGCCTGGCCTCAATGAACCTGGGCTTTGAGCCCTGGTGACTCAACTATGGGAGTCGAGTACCTAGGCACACCAGAGCCTTGAGCCCAACCTGTGTACCCAGGGATTGAGCGCCGGATTGGGGGTCTTGGGCACTAGTCACTTGGGCATGGGATCTTGATACCCAAGCATATGGGCCAGGCCTTGATGGATCCCCAAACTCAAGCGCCGAACCGGGGTCTTGAGCCCGAGCGCCAGTGACTTGGGCACAGGAGCCGATTACTAGGGCACAGTCGTTGGGGACTTGGGGCACAAGCATCGAAGTCTTGAGCCCAGCCTTTGTGGACCAAGGCTCAGCCTCGATGGACTTAGGCCCAAGTGCTGGTGACTTGGGCATGGGAGTCGATTACTCGGGCATGACCGTCGAGGACCCAGCCACAAGCACTGAGGTCCAAAGCTTAGCCTCGTTGGACCCAAGTCCAACCGTTGGTAACTTGGGCACGAGAGCTAGGCACGAGGCATGATCGTTGGGGACTTGGGCACGGGCACCAGGGTCCCAAGCTAGCCTCCGTGGATTTGGGCTTTGCCTAGATAGATTCGGACTCAGGCTTCATATTGCAATCCCGAGCCCAAACTCAATGGTAATAGGCCCGAGCGCCCATGATTTGGGCGTAGGATACGGGTACTTGGGCATGGCTGCAGGAGACCCAAGCACCAGCACTGGGGCCTCAGGCCCGGCCTCCGTAGACCCAGGCCTAAGCACTGGTGACTTGGGCGTCGGAGCCTTAGACATGGGCATGGAAATCGAGGTCTTGGCCCAGCCTTTGTGAACTGAGGCTTAGCTACAGAGGAACCGGTCTCAACCTCGATGGACTCAAGATTGGGAGCCACATACCCGAGCATGACCGTCGGATACTTGAAGATAGAGGGAGAAGCAATCAACAAGGTCAAAACCAAAACCACAGTAGATCGACGTCCAGAGAGAGAAGTAGATCGAGATCTCGTGGTGAAATAATTTGCTAGAATTGCAAAAAGATGGGCCATTTGAGACGTAATTGTAGAGCCGAAAAAAAAATTTAGTATCAGCATATTGGAATCAAGGAAAAAGAAATTTGTGACTGCAACCTTTGAAGAGACGCTTGCCCATGAAGCCTTAATTTGAGCGTTGACAAACTAATTGAATCTTGGATTCTAGACTCAGATGCGTCGTTTCAATCTACTTTGCGCGAAGAATTAATGCACAATTTTGTCACTGAAAAGTTTGGAAAGGTTTGTCTTGCTAATGATAAACCTTGAAATATTATAGAGCAAGGTGACGTTTACATAAAGACTACTAAGGGGTATCAATGAAAGTTGCAAGATTTGTTCCTAACCTTGCAACTCCTTGTTTTCATATACTACTTACATTTGATTTTCAAAGTCTCATTCTTCACTTCAGCCTTCCATCTCTAAAAAATGGCAAACTGATCATATTTATCTTTCAAAAAATAAATCCACACTTTCCTATAGTAATCGTCAATAAATGTGACATAGTAGCATGAACCTCCAATGAAATGTACAAGGGCTGTCCCCATACATCCGTATGCACCAATTCTAACTTTCCTTTCTTTGGTTCTCTCCCAATCTTCGAAAAACTTACACATTTTTACTTGCCCATAACGCAATTCTCACATAGACCAATATCTATGGACTTTAGATTATGTAGTTTTCATTGCAAAATATGTGGTTGTACTATGTCAAAAAAGAATACGATGGAAGCAAGACGTACAAAGCAAGGTTGGTAGCAAAAGGTTTTCAACAAAGTTGACTACACAGAGATTTTCCCTCCAGTTGTGAAGTTAACTACTATTAAGCTAGTGTTGAGTACTATTGCTTCTAAATATTTGCATCTAGAGTAGTTAGATGTAAGACAATATTCCTCAATGGTGACTAAGATGAGGATACCTACATGGTACAACCAAAACGATTCAGGTTTCTTGTAAGGAAAACTATGTCTGCAACCTAAAGAAAAGTCTATATCGTTTGAAATAGGCTTCCAGACAATAGTACAATAAATTTTACACTTTTGTGTACAATAATGAGTTCGCTAGATGTGAAATGGATCACTACTGTTACTTCAAGAAATTTGATGATTCCTATATTATCTTGTTGTTGTATGTGAATAGTATGCTTATTGTAGGATCTAGTGTGAGAGAGATTAACATACTGAAGCTGTAATTGTCAAAAGAGTTTGAAATGGAGCACTTGAGAGTAGCAAATCAAATTCTTGAGATGAGGATCAAACGAGATATATAGATCTAATGGAATTTTAAAGTTGTCTCAAGAAAAGTATATTGAGAAGGTGTTAGACAAATTCAGAGTTGAAAATGCAAAACCCAGAAGTACTCCTTCATGAAGTCACTTTAAACTCTCGTAGAAGTAGTCGCCAAAGATAGATGAGGAATAGGAGTACACCACTAAGGTGCCTTATGCGTCAACTATTGGCAATTTGGTGTATGTCATGGTGTGTACAAAGCCAGACATAACTCATGCAATGAGAGTTATGAGTAGATTCATGGATAATCTCAAAATAATCATTGAAAAGCATTAAAAAACTTGACATGCACTTCAGGTTTGGCACTTTGTTTTATGAAAAACAGTGTGACTTTACAAGGCTTTGTCGACGGATCTTATTGGTGACTTGGATAACAGGAAGAGCACATTGGCTTATGCTTTCACCTTTGGTGGCATTGCAGTCAGGTGGACTGTTGGCAATTTGGTGTATGTCATGGTGTCTACAAAGCCAGACATAACTCATGCAATGAGAGTTATGAGTAGATTCATGGATAATCTCAAAATAATCATTGAAAAGCATTAAAAAACTTGACAGGCACCTCAGGTTTGGCACTTTGTTTTATGAAAAACAGCGTGACTTTACAAGGCTTTGTCGACAAATCTTATTGGTGACTTGGATAACAGGAAGAGCACATCGGGTTATGCTTTCATCTTAGGTGGCATTGCAGTAAGGTGGAAGTCCAGACTTCAGTAATGCATGTCCCTCTCAACCACCAAAGGAGAGTGTAGTGCTATATTTGATACTAATAAGGAGATAATTTGGTTGAAGAAGTTTCTGAAGAAAATAGGCAATGAGTAGGATAGTAGTGTTCTTTTTAGTGATAGTTAGAGTGCTATTTGTTTTGCAAAGAATGTGGTATTTCACTCAAGGACAAAGCACATCGAGTTGAAGTATATTATATTCGATAACTTACAGATAAAGGGACATTGTCATTGAAGAAGATCCTTGGTACAAAAAATCGACATGTTAACCAAGGTTGTCACCACTAAGAAACTGAGTTTGTGCATTGTCTTAGTTGACCTCCATGATCACTGATGAGGAGGCCACTACACTAAGACAGTTTGGGTTATAAAAACGAGTGAAAAATTTGAAAAACCATTGTTGTTTTTTAAAGATCAGCATCCAAGTGGGAGATTAATGGAGTTCTAGAGTCTGATAAGGGAAAGTAATATTAAAGTAGAGAAGTTTTTTATTAGTTAATGGCATACATGTCTGCTACAACTTGCCCTAGAATTGTGCTATATATTGGGCAATTTCTTTTATAGTCGTAACTTGTAACTTTGAAGACTGATACAGATAATGAGAAATTGTCTAGAGCAGCATCGTGGTTTTTCCCTTTCTGATTTTGAAAGGGTTTTTCCACGTAAAAATTCATGTTTTGTTCTGTCTTTTTTTTTTCTCTTCAACAAATCGCGCTCCTAACACATGCAACGACATATACATGGCTTCGATACCCTACCAAAATCGGTCCTTGTTGACGCTCAAATACCCAGCCATTACCTTCCCTCCGGTGTTTCGCATGCCGTCTATGAAGAAGCACCAATTCGAACCCAGCGCCCCGATGAAAAAGTCGGCGTCCGACGCCATCAAGAAATTCACGAGCGGATAGTTCGTGCTCGTCTCTCTCCCGAGGCTCGCCTCGTATATGGCCATCGAAGTGTTGCCTATTTGTCGCCTCACATCAGTGTGGTAGAAGTTCCAGCTCGCATATGATCTCGACTTATTGATGACTTCCTGGAGGCAACGGGTATGTTCCAATCATAAAGATACTCGATGCCGGTGGTAATTCACAATTCATCGTTTCGTTTATTGTCATAGCGAATCAGGAATGTTGCTAGAAATCGTATCAGTCGACAAAAAAGAACAGAGTGTTTGAAACAGGAAACTAACCTGCATCTCAGTGGAGAGCCATATGCTGTTAAGGTGAGGAAACCGCTTCCTCATGCGGTCGGCGAGGCGCATGTACTCTTCGAATCCGACCACCTTCATTTCGCACGCCTTGTCGCCCATCCTCACATGCATGCTTAGAAGTGGCCGAGGAACCCACGGTTTGTGATCGGACCACACGAGCCTTTCGATGTCAGACACGGGCTTCTCCGCAACTTCCTGCAATTGAAGATTTCTCATGAGATGACCGGTTAGAGATGACTGATTTCCCGCGGCAGGAGCACTTAAACTAACAACACAAACCTGTGGCCATTTTTCCGGTAGACCTGTGAGGACAATCTTTGCTGCTTCTGCTCCAAAAGCAGCATGGCGTGCCGTATTCATCAAGCCGCATGTGTACTCCGTTTGAAACCTCATCAAGTAACGGACCCCCTGGAAAAAACCATTACTAATCGTCGCAATGGATCACAGAACCGAGCTTGAAGTAAACGTCGGAACAGCGTGCAGTCATCACTAACATGGCACTACTTACTCTTCCATCACTCTTTTCTATAACGAAACTGGGAAAACCTCAAAAGCTTTTCATGCACTTGGCAAAGTATTCTTGTACCTGCGCTCGCCACCATCTTATGTCCATTTCGCAATGACGTGAAATTAACCTTCCGTTTATCTCCGATGTCGGCTGCTGGTAAGTCCAAGGATCCCCCCATAACCTGAATTAGAATTCTTATTTAGCCGAACAGATTGAAACAGTAAAGGGTTGAATGTCACTGATCGCTAACAGAGCTCGAATGAAGAAAGAGTAAAGTGGAGTTGAATTACTTGGGTATTTGGCCGTGCCATATTTGCTTCGTGCTGTAATTTGTTTTCCCGGTGACAATTCCACTTTCCCACGCATCGTGACTTGCGATCAGCTCAAGTGCACGATCTCGGCATTCCTGGGATGTTTCAGGGAGGAAGTAGCATGACCAGCTCGAGCGCACTGATCCTGCGAAGGACAATTTAAGACTATTCAATTGGGAAAATCTTGAGCTTCTACGAATATCTACAATGAGCGACACGAAAGGACTAGTTTATACCCTTACAACCATCATGGTCGGCTCTGTTATAGTAGTTAGTGACGAGGACCCGTTTCTCTCGGAGAGCAATGGCGAGGAGCCCGCACATTGCAGCGATTTGAGCTCCTATACCAAATCCAGGCAATCTCTCCCAGTCCGCCACTAGGAATCTCACTCTAGGGTCACTGCAGTTCGAAGGATGCTGATGGATCCACAAATCGCGTTGAACTTTTCTCGTGCGAGGATAGTTTTCTTGATCTGACCCAGTTATCTGCGAACGCTCCCCCGAATTAGATCACTAGAAACACTGAGACAAACAGTTCATTCGTTCACCCCTACCAAAGCACGCTGATTCATTTTTTTCCTCAAAAGCAATAGATTCAAGAAATGGCACAAACCCGGTACGCCTACATGATCATCAAGTCAACTTCGCCTGCTATTAGCTAAAGAATGTTCTCTCTTTGCACAATTTCAAATCATTATTGCATGACGTGCCTAAAGTATAATATCCAGAGGATTCAAAAGACGAAGCATACCCAAGGAGGAGAAAAACTTTCAGATATTTCTCGGCCCCTGAAATTCTTCAGTTGCTCATCAGTTACTGATGCCGAGTGCCTTTCCAACAATCCTTTCCAATTAGTCCATGGAGGGAATTTCTCATTCTCAGCGTAGCTGTCGTGTTGCTTATTTACTCGAGCGGTTGACTTGCAGCCCTCCAAATGAGGCGCAGACGGTACCATGGATCTGCTTAGTCCTAATTTACGCAACTCCTCTCTTCCATCCGCAGGTTCTTTTAGTACAGCACTCCAAGCTGAATAAAGCAAAGAGACTCTTTCTCTATCTTGATGTTGTTCTTTGCTTGGCACTGAATCGACATTTCCCGGTGGCCTTTTCAGATCAAAATCTCGACCTGACCTTGTGAAGATATCTGCAGTGTATGGTGAAAAATTTTATTTGAGCTCCCAAAAGAGAATTGGATCGATAAAATCAGTGTTGCACACCCCCTCACGGAACAAATGACTTAATCAAGTGATCATTTTCCCTTCATCTCTGTTCACACTCACCCTGCTCATTGCAATTATGTTATACATTTTAACGTAGAAGGTCCACGTAACGTTGAGAGAACAATGTCCAATTTCTGTTGGAATCTCGCAGAAGAATCATGAAATTAGTTATTTGTATACCAAGTTATTTTACATCTCCAGTCAGGTTATAGTAAGGGCAATCAACAAAATACGTTGAGCAAGAAAAGCTAAAAGGTTCAAGTTGCTTCATTCAAGCCATTTCATCATTCCCTAGTATGACTTTTCATCTGTTTTCTACCTTAATCTTCACTCTGTGAAGACAAATATCCATGAAAACCATGGAACTTTCAGATGAATTGAGTACTGTGAAGAATGCTATCTTTGACCCCATATATTGACCAAAATTTGCTTCTCTGCCTTTTCCTTAAAGTAAGATGCAAAGTAAAATGTTGTAGAAATTTCCTGTGAAATATGAGACTTTTACAACTTCATCCTCAGCAGGTAATTAGCAGCAGTCACGTAGTTTATCTCGGAAATCAGATAATCAACGTAGCATCACATATTATGTATGACAATCATTCATCTATTGCTATGAGCATGTTTACACCAAAAAATGACCGAGTCTTTGTAATCGACATGACGTCGATTTAAATAAGTATAGAGCTTGGTCTGATATGGTTGTCAGCTAGCGCCAATGGAATTTCTTGCCAGTGACCTTGAATTACAATTATCGATGAACATGAAACACATCTATCGACACATGATGGTGAATGTTCAACAAACATATAAAGTTAGTGATAAAACATGGCCAATTTCACTGTTAATTTGGCTAAGTGCTAGATGCAGGGAAATGAAGAAGGAGACGAAGCGAAGATGCCGATTAAAGCCGAAGATACCAATTGACGGTTTAGTGCAGTGGCACTCAACATTGTAGAGAGATCCTCCTCTCTACGTATTTTTTCAATTTATCAATTTATTTCCAGTTCCAGTATTTGCAAGTTTTTTTCCTTTAAATTTATTATTCTTAATCCTTGTTATGCAATTCAATTCCTATCCGAATTGCGACTGAACCCGTTTAACAAAAAACCAAAGATCAACCTTTGGTGAAGATTGTTCACTAACTGGGACAACTCTCAATTTCTAGTGTAACACAACAAACAGGCAAATTAAAAAAAAAAAGATAAAATTTAAGACTCACTTATTATGTTTGAGCTTGAATTCCCCCGGGAAATCCCCATTGAAATTGTAGACAATGAGACTCTGCTGAAGCCAAACGCTCCAAAAGAAGTGAGGGCAGCCAGAAACAGAGTGGTGAGACACACTCCCCAGAGAAAACCCACCACACAGACTAGGCATGGAAATGAGCTTCCCATTTGCCGAGCTCTATGTGAAACAACTCTCTCTATTGCCGTCTGATTAGACTGAGCTTCCATTTTCTTCCGACAATCTACCAAAATTGAAGAACACGATGTTAGAATACACATAGTTGTGTTAGAAAAGTCTAATATTGGAAAATTGATACGGTGTGAAGTAGTCAATAAATCCTACTTGGCCCATAACTCATTGGTGATAGATTTAACTGAATATGTTGACAAACTTAGACTTGAATTCTTGATCTCCTTAGGTGAAAGTATCGAATTTCTTCTGTGTGCTCTCAACAAACAAGAACCCAAGGAAAGCAATAATAGCTTCGGTGATAATTTCATGGACTGTCAACCCCCAACTTCCTGACTAAAATCTCGTGAACGAAATTCCCATCAGCTCCTTATTTCCAAAAGCGCAGCTTTCAGCCACAGCCATAGAGTAAGAGCAATATAAACTTTTGATAATTTGGACTCAGAGCACAAATACCGAAAAGGAGGGAGAACTATACTGAAAATGCCGTTTGCTAAAGCTTGCAAGTACTAGAACAAACACACAGAAGCTCAACTAGAGTTCCTCTCTATCTTTTTCTCTTTTCTCTACATGAAGCTCTTACCTCGTGGACAAATATTACATACAGTACAAATATTATATATAAAAGAGCCACCAACTCTTTAAGTCGGCAAAGAAGACCAGCTAGTAATAGGATAGTGCCGGGCAAGCTCGTCTAGCAAAAAATAGAATTTTGTTTACCAGCTAGTAATAGGATAGTGCCGGGCAAGCTCGTCTAGCAAAAAGTAGAATTTTGTTTTTCTTTCTCTGAGCCATCGGCAACAAGTCCACCAGTGACTTTTCCTTTGTAAGTTTTCTGTTCTATATCAAATTCCAACGCCTCTGCTACACGACTTCAATAGAAAAGCAATTTCCATGTTCTACAAACTTGAATCCAACAATATATCTACCAAAATCAACTTCATTATTTCAAGGATTAATACCACGAAAAACCCTAAACTGGTACATTTGTAACAAATTTACCAAAAACTATTTTTTTTACCAGAAAAAACCCTAAACTGGTACACATGTGACAATTTTACCCCGAACTATTTTTTTGACCACCAAAAATCCCAAACTGGTACACCTGCGAAAATTTTACCCCGACCTAATTTTTTAATATTATTTTTTATTTTTTCGAATTGTTTTTATTTTTTCTTTTTTCTTTTTTCTTTTCTTTTCTTTTTCCTTTCTTTTTCTTTTTTTTTGTCCCTTCATCTTCTTTATCTTCAATCTATGGCCGACAAGGTCGGCCCCGTCGGCCGCTGGCGAGGCCGACCTCGCCAGCAACTGGCGAGGTCGGCCTTGCCCACCCCTGGCGAGGGGTCGTCCTCGCCAGTGACGACGAAATCCCAACCGTTCCGTCCGGCGATCGCAAAGCTGCATCGCTCCGAGCGCGAAGCTTTCTCTCTCAATTTTCCCTTCCCCGATCGGAGGACCGGAGCCATGGCCGGCGTCTCTCTCAAGTGCGGCGACTACGGCGCCGTCTTGAAGTCCATGGAGGAAGCTCAAGGGCACGCTAAGCTCACCTCTCACTCCAACTTCTCCGAGTCCACTAAGGCCGTCCTCAATCTCGTCTATAGCTCCTGCGGGAAGCCCTGCCGATCCAAGACAGTATGTCGAATCCCCGCCTTTTGTGGCGTTCTGATTTGTTGCGCTGGCCATTGATTTGGTTTCTGAACGACAGCGAGGTTGGCTGCTCCAGAGGCCGGCGGGGGCCGACCAGAGGCCGACGGGGGCCGACCTCGTGGGCCCCCGCCTCTGGCTCGGCGAGGCCGAGCCTCGCCAGCGACGGCGAGGACTACCCCTCACCAGCAACTGGCGAGGTCGAACCTCACCGGGGGTAGGCAAGGCCGACCTCGCTAGTTGCCGGCGAGGTCGGCCTCACCCAGCAATGGCGAGGTCGGCCACGCCAGCAGCCGGCGGGACCGATCTCGCCGGCCATAGGTTGAAGATAAAGAAGATGAAGTAAAAAAAAAAAGAAAAGGAAAGGAAAAAGAAAAGAAAAGAAAAAATAAAATAATTCGAAAAAATAAAATAATAATATTAAAAAATTAAGTCGGGGTAAAATTGTCGCAGGTGTACCAGTTTGGGGTTTTTGATGGTCAAAAAAATAGTTCGGGGTAAAATTGTTACACATGTACCAGTTTGGGGTTTTTTTGTGGTAAAAAAAATAGTTTGGGGTAAATTTATCACAGGAATACCAGTTTAGGGTTTTTCATGGTATTAACCCTTATTTCAATAGCTTCCCTTAAAATTGATTATGCAAATCTATAACACCAAGCATCGTCTTTATTTTATTGAACGAATCCGCCTTCGTTTGTCAAAGTATATGCAATATGATCTTCTGATCTATAGAAATTAAGTTCAATCTCGCCATGTTTGACTAGCTTACTAATGTAGTGATACTTGATGTCAGTGTTTTTGCTTTTGCCATGAAAAACAAGATTCTTGACAAATGCAATTGCCGACTTATTATCACACATTAATTTGGTAGAACCTTTATGTTGATGCATCAATTCATAAAACATCCTACGAAGCCAAATGGCTTGACATGCCACTGAAGCTACTGCTGTGTATCCTGCTTCGGTTGTCAATAGTGCAACAACTTATTTTTTTGAAGACTAAGAAATTACTCTTGATCCGAGAAAGAGAGAAAATCCGGAAGTCTCTTCCAAGTCTTTGTATCACCTGCCCAATACTAATGGTGTACCTCACTAAAATGAAATTATCAGTGTAAGAATATAGAATTTCATGACCACAAGTTCCAATGACATACCATAAAATTCTTTCTGCTATCTACCAATGTGACCGGCATGGTTTCTACATAAACCGACACAATTCCTATGACATAGTTAATATTTGGCCTAGAAGAAGCGAAATATCTTAAACTGCTAACAATACTTTTAAAAGAAGTGAGATTTACTAGTTCACCGTTTCCTTTTTTCTTTAGCTCCAATCGTTCTATTATAGGACAGTAAATTGATATGAGCAATTCCATCTTCAATCGCTTCAAAATATCATGAGGACAATCCTGCGGTGAAAGAAATATACCATCATTTGTCAACTTCACTTCAAGACCTATAAAATAAGACATCAATCACAAATCCGCCGTCTCGAACTGGCTAGTCATAGATTCCTGGATTCAACAAAAATATTTTCGCAACTCTCTGTAAGTCGTCAACATAAAGGTACACAATTATTATATCACCGTTAGTATTAGACTTGATAAACAATGTATACTCATAAGAGCACTTTTGAAAACCATTCTCTAACAAATTCGTGTCAATATACGGGTATTAAACTCGAATTGCTTGTTTTAGCCCATATAATGCCTTTTTTTTTATAAACTTGATTTTCATGGCATTTCTTCTCATAATCTTGTGGTTGCTCCACTTAGAATTTCTCTTTGAGGAAACCATTGAGATTGCTGATTTCGCATCCATTTGATGGGTCTTCCAACGATTCCAAGCTACAAGTACTAAGATAGTCAAAATGGTATCTATTCAAGCTACTGGTGCAAATACTTAAAATAATCATATATCTGAATTTTTCCTATAGCCTTCCATGAACAGTTTGGCTTCGTAATGGTCCGCCTGACCATAATGTGTTTATACTTTGTCTTGTACCCCACTTGACACCAATGGGCTTCTTAGCAGGTGGTAAAGATGCTAGCACCCATGTATCATTCTTTTCTATGGTGTGGATTTCTTCATCCATTGATTGAATCCCCTTTCTCATTAGGGGTGAGCAAAATAGACCGCCCAAACTGGGACTGGACCGGACTGGACAGGACCAACTGGTTTGGTTCAGTTCTCGGAAATATCGGTCCAATTCCCGATTCTTAAAAGTGAAACCGGTTTCCAGGAGGTTCAGTTCCCGATTTTAGGGTGGGAATCGGACCGGACCGATAAATATATATTTTTCTAATTTTTTCATATATATATTTACTTTTTAAAATTTTTGAAAAAAATAGAAAACCTAATCTAATTTCCCCAATTCTCTTTTGCCTTTACCAATAAGTTATTGGTCCCATTGAAACCAGTCCAGTCCCCGGTTCTCAGTCTTGGGTTGGACCGGACCGGACTGGGAACTACTCACCCCTATTTCTCATCTATAGCTGTTTCATCGTAAAATACAGGGTCACATTCTACCAATAAACAAAAATTTACCATAGTTCGATAAGTGATTTAGTCATTGTTACTATCATCATCTTTTGTAACCACATATTCCTTAAATTTTGCTAGCATGACCCTCAACTATTATGAACAACCCAACGGCAATAATCTGCAAATGATGAAGAAGATGTACTAATAGGCAAAGATGAATCATCAATTGAAGATTTTTCTCTATCTATCACCAATGGTTCATCTTCGATAGTAATGCTTTTCAATTTAACCTTTTGGTTCCAGTCCCAAGCTTCATCCTAAAAAAGGAGGAAAACTCGGGTAATGACTACATTCTCCATGAATGGATTGTACGGCTTCTAAACCTTAGTCATGTCGATGTAACCGATGAAGATACACTTGTGACTTTTATCATCCAACTTTTTTCTCCGTTCATCTGGTATATGAGAATATGTCACGCACCAAAATACTTGTAGGAACGAAACATCTTGCTTGTTGCTATGCCAAGCCTTTTATGGGGTTCTCCCTAGAGCACTCCTTAATTGGACACCTATTTAGACAAAAATGGCACATGCAGCAGCTTTTGTTTAAAACTTCTTTGATAAATCTTTAACTTTTAGCATACTTCTTGCCATTTCAAAAATTGGCCTCTTCTTTCTATCTGCTATACCATTTTGCTAAGTAGTATAGCTGGCAATCAATTAACATTTTACCCAAGAATTTGACAGTATTTGCAAATTCTTTTAAGGTGAATTCTCCTCCTCTATCCGATCTCAATGTCTTCAGATTAAAACTACAATGTTTTTCATTATACTTTAAATTTGCCAAAAGTTTCTTATTTTTCACTTAAAAAATATACCCATGATTTCTGATAAAATCATCCACAAAAATTAACATGTACCTTCTTTGTCCAAATGATTTCACCTCAATAGGGCCACATATGAATGTGCCGACTCCAAAGGTTGCTTTGCTCTTCTGGCTATTTCAACTGGAAATGGTTGTCGATGATTTTTCCCGACAAGAAATCCTATGCATGGGCGCTCTGGACTGTCGATCAAAGGTATGCCGGTCACCATCTTTTTCTAGACCAATAATTTTAGTCCACAAAAATTTAAATGACTAAATCGAAAATGGTACAACTAGTCCTATCTTTCAATGTTGACTTTGTGTTCTTTTTTGGAAAGTTTCCCTATACTAAACAAATTTCAAAAAAAATCTTGGCACAAATTAAACATTTGCAAGAGTAACATTAGTACCATCTTGTAACTTGATATTATTGTTGCATTTGCCCTTTATGGAAATTTTTTATTTATTCCTGAAGTTGACTACACCGCGAACTATCTTGTCCAACCGCATCAACAACTCTTTTTGGCCAAACATATGATCACTGCACTCAGTATTAAGGTACCATGTTTTGGTGTCCACAGTGCTCGAGTCATCCTTCATGTATGTCTTTGTCGGCATATATCGTATGTGCATGTTCTGTCTACTCGGATGTCATCTTCGCTTGGCTTTCGGATTTGTAATGTCCGAATTTGTTACACTTAAAACAAACACTTGACTTTTGATTTGTCTAGTGTTTTATACTTTCCAGTTGAATTCGAATTTCCCCCTCTACTTTGGCCACTTCCATGACCTCGACCACCTTGATAGCCTCCTCAACTTGATTGAACGACCTGACTCTATAATGCTTGCTCGGGATTTGAATCAATGGACTTTCAATTCGTTTTTTGCTTATGCAAGCACAATGGACCTATCAACTGTTCCAATGTCACGATTAACACACCTCGATCACTACAACAACATAGTCAGATCTTTTGGTCAAAGACCTTAAGATTTTTTTTACAACTCGTACATCAGTTAGTTCTTCGCCATTGCCCCTTAATTGGTTTCCAATGGTATGTACAAGATCAAAGTATGTCGAGATTGATTTAGAGTTTTATGCGTAAAAACTCAAAATCACCTTGATTTGTTAAAAGCTGCACCAGTCCTACACAATTATTGCCTTTGTAGGAATTTTTGCAAAATTCCGACGTTGCTTTCGCGATCTCCGCTCGATTTTTTTTAGATGTTGTTTTCTCCACGACTTAAAAACATCAAATATAATGTTTTCTAATCTTTCTTTAGGGACTCCACCAACGAAACTCTCTCCTTCTCAAGGCATCGAATGCATTAGCATCGGTCGCTTTAGTGTAGCAGTTCTCCACCAGATTTCACAAACTTGCGATTTGAAGAACACCTTCATATGGGTTGACCAGTTATTGAAATTTCTTCCCTTCAACTTTGAAAGTTGTAACTAAACAGAACTTATGGATGCCATTGCTAGCTCTGATACCAAATATTGAAATTAAACAATACAAACTTCTGATAATTCGGTGTAATAGCACAAATACAAAAAATGACAGAGATTCATTTGCTTAGGCTTACAACTAGTAGAACAACATACAGAAGCTTAACTAGAGTCCCGCTCTATCTTTTTCTCTTCGAAGCTCTACCTAGTGTGTACACGCGCACGCGCGCGCGCGCACACACACACACGTATATATAACAAGTCTTTGTAGTGGACCAATTTATTTTGATAGCCATCCTGGTCTTACCGTTTCTCTCAAAGACAAAAATATTTTGAGATCTCTTACCCTCCAAATAAAGACCCATAATTATTCTATAGCTGAAGGTTCTATTCCCATAGCCCTCATCTACAGAGTTTATTACAAAGTAATGAATTCTACTTTTGGTAGCAAAGCTTTTAAATTAAATTCCAATAGGAAAACCCTTCTTTTACAAACAGATATTTCTGAAGCAAATATTATCATTCCTAGGACCATTCCTTGGAATCAAATAACCCTTCCTGATCAATGGGAATTAGAAAACCGGATTCCCCAGCCAATCATTCAAAACTCTGATCCTATCAATATTATTCAACACCCTGAAGGAAAAGTAACTATTTATATATATATATGATTTTTCTTTCTCTGAGCCATCAGCAGCAAGTCCACAGTTGACTTTCCCTTTCTAAGTTTTTTTTCCTTGTCAAATTCCAACGCCTCTACTAAACGACTTCAATATGAAAGCAATTTCCATGCTCTACAAACTTGTATCCAACAAAATATCTACCGAAATGAATTTTATTATTCCAACAAAAAGAAGAAGGAGAAAAAAAAGAAGCAAGAAGCCCACAATAAAGAAATAGAACCCAAAACATAAAGAATAATGGGGAGGAAAAAGATTAAATGAGATTGAAATAGAATGTGCAGATCAATCAGAGCGAGCAGGAGTGTCAGAAAAGAGACTTTGGGAAGAAAACGCAAAAAAATTTCTCCTTTTTCTTTGTGTTTTTTCAGTTTCTGAAGAAGCAGACAGACATGTCTTGACTGACTAATACCAACAGATATGCACTGCATCTGTTGGGTGTGTAGTACACCTGGAGCAGTCTCTTGCCGGGTCATCGAACTCCTCTAGAACGGGCAGAAAGTCAACTTTTAAAAGTTCAAGGGTTCGATTCGAAAAATAACGCAAGTGCAGGGACCAAAATTGAAAAGTTTTCCCTTAATGTTGAACTAAAAAGTGGAACGTACCCAAGAATCTTCAAACAGAGACACTATTCTGTACGGTATTCCGTGGTTGACTTCGCCAAGACGGCTGTCTCGAGTCTACGTAACAATTTATTGACTAGCTCAATATATCCGGTTGGAGGGTGAGTTTAGAAATAAAGTTTGTTACATTATATCATAAATACATTTTTCAAGCTAATTTATGTAACCTAACATGATATCTTAGTCATCTGATACACCTTTTTCATCTTGAAGCATAGATCAAATTGAAGAAAAAGACATGGTCATAAATGCAAAAGGGTACTTTCAGTTACATAGGAGGTGAATTGTGTCATGTTAGAATAATAGTAGTTCAAGTTAATGGGGGTCAGAATAAACAAAAGAAAAAATTAAGAAAGCTCTAGAAATTTCATCACATTGTAGAAAAAGATAATGGCTTCAGTAGATTATGTGTACTTAGTTTGATCTATGCATGGCTAATTTAAGAAGAAGAAGAAGAAAGAAACGGAGAAAATTTCGATAATAGGCATGAATTGGTATGATAATTTCACATTAAAAGATGTTTAATATTTAATTACTAGTTCTTGATAATTCATGGGCAAGGAGAGCATAGGCTCCGCCATATGGAGGCCCATGAAATATCTTTCGAATATCATAAACCGGTTAAATCCATTCAATTAGTTTGAACCGTTTGTCTTGACTTTAATTAGTTTTGGACGTAGCTAGTGTATTTGAATGATTGACTGCCCGTTCTTATTCTTGAAATCCCTTGACCCCAGCTAGTAACGCCAACCTTGGGAGTTAGTTCTCTTTTTTCTTTCTTTCTTTCTAAATGGTTTCGTTCCTTGTCTTAGAAAACATGGACTTTGAAATGCTATGGAAGCAAGATCGACCACATTTTTCTTAAAAACGTTTGATCTCTTCGTCAAATTTTTTTTTGGAGTAACAGGACACTCTTTGAGTGCCGCGGTGGCGATTTCGCCACCCGGGAGGAAAAGGGAGGTGCAGTGGTCAGGCCTGAACTATTTGCACAAAGAACATGACTTGCACTAACTTTTCTATTACTAGTGATTTGCAATCTTGTGCGTTCTCACTGGTTATGCATGTTGTGAATAGTCATAGGAAATTACTACATCGCTGCTGTGATTCCAAAGCAGCGGTCAGGTGCTTGAAAACCGCAACTGCAGCCTCTACAATCACACTTCTTTCGATCGTTTCTTCAGTAGCACGTTATTAACACGAAATGCATGGAATTCTGATGTTGATGCCCGCCCGTCACAGCGAGCTCTTGGTATGTTGGGTATCATCCGGACGAGACTATTATATCAAGCTGAGTAATGCTGCATAAGCTGAATTCTTTTTCCGACTAACATGGCTTTGTTCATGTTTTTTATGCTTCATATTTACGGTAAAACGTGGGAAACCAACCTTAAAAGTCATAAGCCTGTGCTCTACATTAACCAGCATGAATCACTGCATTGAGGATATGCATTGAATGTCTTTGTTTGATCTGTACATTGAGCTGATACATGAAAAGTATGTACATTATGCATGAACACAGAAGAAATGCACAAAATCGCGATCATGCAATGACGTATGCATGGCTTCGGTACTCTCTACCAGAATCGATCTTTGTTGACGCTTAAATACCCAGCCATTACCTTCCCCCCGGTGTTTCGCATGCCGTCTATGAGGAAGCACCAAGTCGAACCCAGCGCCCCGATAAAAAAGTCGGCATCCGACGCCATCAAGAAATTCACGAGTGGGTAGTTCGTGCTTGTCTCTCTCCCAAGGCTCGCCTCATATTCAGCCATCGTGATGTTGCCTACTTGTCGCCTCACGTCCGTGTAGTAGATGTTCCAGCTCACATATGACTTTGACTTATCAATGACTTCCTGGAGGCAACGGTTATGTTCCAATCATAAAGATACTCGATGCTGAAGGTAATTCACAATTCATTGTTCCAGCTCGAAAACAAAAAAGAAGAACGTGTGTGAACTAGGAAATTAACCTGCATCTCTGTGGAAAGCCATATGCTGTTAAGGTGTGGAAACCGCTTCCTTATGCGGTTGGCAAGGCGAATGTACTCTTCGAATCCAACCACCTTCATTTCACATGCCTTATCGCCCATCCTCACATGCATGCTGAGAAGTGGCCGAGGAATCCATGGTCTGTGATTGGACCAAACAAACTTTTCGATGTCTGACACGGGCTTCTCCGCGGCTTCCTGCAGTAGAAGATTTCTCATGAGATGACCAGTTAAAGATGATCAATTTCCCATGGCAGGAGCACTTGGACTAACAACACAAACCTGTGGCCATTTTTTGGGTAGACCTGTGACGACAATCTTTGCAGCTTCCACTCCAAAAGCAGCATGGCGAGCTGCATTCATCAAGCCGCATGTGTACTCCGTTTGAAACCTCATCAAGTAGCGGACCGCCTGAAAAATACCACTAGTATTCATCACAAAGAATCATAGAACTGAGCTTAAATGTCGGAACAGAATGCAATCGTCGTTTACATGTGACGCTGCTTATTCTTATCACTCTTTTCTATAACGAAACTGCAGAAACTTAAAAAGCTTTTGATGCATGTAGCAAAGTATTCCTGTACCTGTGCTCGCCACCATCGTCTGTCCATTTTGCGATGATGTGAAATTAAACTTCCATTTATTTCGGTCGTCGGCTGCAGGTAAGTCCAGGGATCCCCCCATAACCTGAATTAGAATTCTTATTTAATTACAGATTGAAACATGAACGGGTTGAATGTCGCTGATCGCTAACTGAGCTTGACCGAAAAAAGGGTAAAGCGGAGTTAAATTACTTAGGTATTTGGCCAGCCCATATTTGCTTCGAACTGTAATTTTGTTTCCCCATGACAATTCCACTTTTCCACGCATCATGACTCCCAATCAGTTCAAGTGCACGGTCTCGGCATTCCTGGGATGTTTCAGGGAGGAAGTAGCATGACCAGCTCGAGCGCGCTGATCCTGTGAAGGACAATTTAAGACTTGTCAATTGGGAAATCCTGAGCTTCTACGAATATCTACAATTAGCACACGAAAGGACTAGTTCATACCCTCACAATCATCATGGTCGGCTCTGTTATAGTAGTCAGTGACGAGGACCCGTTTCTCCCGGAGAGCAATAGCGAGAAGCCCACACATTCCGGCGATTTGAGCTCCAATACCAAATCCAGGCAATCTCTCCCAGTCCGCTACAAGGAATCTCACGCTAGGATCACTGCAGTTTGAAGGATGCTGATGGATCCATAAGTCGCGTTGAACTTTTCTCGTGAGAGGATAGTTTTCTTGATCTGACCCAGTGATCTGCGAAAGCTCCCCTGAATTAGATCACTAGAAACACCGAGACAAGCATGTTATACATCACCCCAACATGATGATTGAGTTGACATCGCTTGCTACTAGCTAAGTGATGCTATCTTTTTGTGAAATTTTAAATCACTATTGCACAATGTGTCAAAAGAAAAATCTCCGGAGGATTTTAAAAATGAAGAAGCATACCCAAGGAGGATAAGAACCTTCAGATATTTCTCGGTGCCTGAATTTCTTCAGTTGCTCATCATTTATCGATTTCGAATGCATTTCCAATAATCCTTTCCAACTAGTCCACGGAGGAAATCTCTCATTCTCAGCATAGCTGTCGAGTCGCTTATTTACTTGAGCGCTTGATTTGCAGTCCTCCAAATGAGGAGCAGATGGTACTGTGGATCTGCTTAGTCCTAATTTACGCAATTGCTCTCTTCCATCCGCAGGTTCTTTTAATAAAGCACTCCAAGCTGAATAAAGCAAAGAGACTCTCTCTCTGTCTTGATGCTCTTTGCTTGGCACTGAATCGACATTCCTCTCTGGCCTTTTCAGATCCAAATCTTGATCTGACCTTGTGAAGATATCTGCAATGCATAGTCAAAAGAATTGATTGAGCCCCCAGAAAAGAATTGGATCGATGGAATTTGTGTCACCATAGCATATGCAAGTAAATTAGCCGATTTACTGAAATTTATCAGGGAAAAATTAAGCCAGCAACTTGCGCATGCCATCACGGAAGATACAATTTCATCAAATGATTACTTTCACTTCATTTCTCTCCACACTCACCCTGCTCATTGCAATATACATTTTAACGTGGAAGATCTGCGTAATGTTGAGAGAACAATATCCAACATCTGTCGAAATCCCAGAAGAATCACGAACTAAATTATTTGTATACCAAGTTATTTTGCATCTCCAGTCAGGTCAAAGTCTAAGGTCAATCAACAAAATGACTTGAACAAGCAAAGCTAAAAGGTTCATGTTGCTTCGTTTACACCATTCCATCATTCCCAACTATGACTTTTGATCGGTTTTCCTCCTTAATCTTCACTCTATGTCAACAATTTCCCTGAAAACCATGGAACTTTCAGATAAATGAGTACTGCAAAGAAGGCTATCTTTAACTCCCATATATGCACCAATATTTTGCTTCTGTATTTTTTTCCTCAAGGTAAGAAACAAACTACAATGTTGCAGAAATTTCCTGTAACACATGAAGTTTTTACGACTTCATCCTCAGTACAAAATTATCAGGAGTCGAGCAGTTTATCTCAAAAATCAGATAATTAACGTAGTATCCCATATAATGGATGATGATTAATCATCAACGTGTATGCAAATAATGGAAAAAAGATAAAAATCAAGACTCACTGATGATGTTTGCGCTTGAATTCCCCTGAGAAATCCCCATTGAAATTGTAGACAATGAGACTCTGCTGAACCCAAATGCTCCAAAAGAAGTGAGAGCAGCCAGAAACAGAGTGGTGAGACACACTCCACAGAGAAAACCCACCACACAGACTTGGCATGGAAATGAGCTGCCCATTTGCAGAGCTTTCTGCGAAACCACTCTCTCAATTGCCTTCTGATTCGACTGAGCTTCCATTTTCATCCAATTATCTATCAAAACTGAAGAACACGAGGACCTAAAGAAAACAATAACAGCTTCGCTGATAATGTCATGGACTGTCAACCCCCCAACTTTTTTACTATAATCACGTGAATGAAACTCCCACCAGTTCCTTTTATTTCTGTACTTTGAGCCCAACTAATTTCTCATGATCAATAGAAATGCTTTCATGGGTGTCTCCAGAAAATTTCCAAAAGCGTAGCTTTCAGCCACAGCCATCCTATTCCCTGTGGAGGCCTCCATAGGGTGTTGTTGAGTGGTCCTCTTCGTTGTTCCTATCAACTGCAAAAATAAAATAAGAAAAAAAATCTATGAAGATAAAAGCAGAACATACAAAGAAAAATGAAATGAACGGCCACCAGAAAACAAAGAAAAAAATAACCAAAAGAATTTGAGTGGGAGGTTTCAGCAGTATGGGTAAAAAACAGAGTTTCAAATTCTCTCAACAGTTCGCGTTCTCGCAAAAAAAAATATATATATCACCCGTGATCGGTGATCATGAGAATATAAAAGATGAACCAACCAAGAACCAGAGCTCAGATTTTTCGAGATTCGGGTGATACCCATTTGAATTTCTAAAGAGAAACGACCACCCTTTAATTTAGCAAGATATTTTAGCTGAGATATTTCAAAAGTGGAAGAACAGAGAAGAACTAACAAAGAAAGTATGAAAAGAATTTAGTTCATTGTTGTTCATGTAAGTAAAGGCTTAACCTTTTGAGCAGAAGAAACGCAAAGAAGCTTCCTCCAGCACCAGCTGCTCAGGATAGGCATCCAAAAAAAAGAAGAAGTAGAAGCAGAAGCAGAAAGCTCACAAGAAAGAGATAGAACCCAAAAATGGCAGGCGCTCAAATTTGTCCCACGAAGTGGAAAATGCAGAAGGATCAGGGAGAGAGAGAGCAGGATTGTCGGATAGGAGACCTCGGGAAGAGGGCACACAAAATTTGCTCTTTTTCTTCTTCTTTTCTTTGCATTTTCAGATTCTCAAGACACAAAGAGACACGTCTCGACTGAACCGATAGCAACAGATATGCACTGCATCGGTTGAGTGCGGGGCACACTTGGAGCAGTCCCATCCTGGGGTCACCAAACCCCCCTCGAAACAGAGCCAAGAAGCGGCAGAAAAAAAAAAAAAGAAATGGTAAACGAGGAGATTTTATTTGGTGCAGGTGAGCATGGATTCCCTCAAACCTGGGTCCCAGGTTTTACTTGCTACCTCGTCGAAACAGCTGTTCCTTCCTTCCTTCCTTCCCTTCCATTGCTCGCTTTGGCAAAAGCTGATGCTGATTACATTTGAACCATCTTCAAGTGGGGAATTACTGCAACTCCGCAAGGGCCTTAAATGAGAGTTTCGGGATAATTTTTTTTATTTTTGTAGAGGCGAATAGGATCCCGTTGTTATTATATGAATGTCAATGAAATATCATATAAGTTTCATAGACCGATTAAGTTCGGATTTTGGCCGCTGCCAATTTCCTTTTATAAGGATAAAATCTTTGATCTTCGCGAAAGGTTTAATGTAGATACGTATGGACAAAATCCTTGTTAAAGATAGAAAAAGTGGCAAGGAAAAGAGGTGAAGTGGGAGATTTCCATTGGTTTCAGCTTTGGAGGAGTGACGATGGGGATGGGCGGGGGAGGGTAGCCAAAAAAGAAGATGGTGACGTGTGCGTGGAAAAGCGACTTGTCGTACCAAAACATGGTGACACGTGTACTCGGTGACTTCGTCTTCTGGCCGACGTTGTTTCTCCCTACTTCGCGTTTTGAAGTGTAACTGGTCCTTCGTTTTTCTTTTTTTTCAGAATTAATATCACGAAAAATCTCAAATTAATATATATTATAAATTTATCTTAAATTAATTTTTTAATCATAAAAAATTTCAAACTGATACATTTACGATAGATTTATCCTAAACTAATTTTTTGACCATTAAAAACCCCAAACTGATATATTTGTGATAAATTTATCCTTTATTAGTTTCCGTCAAATTTAATTAATACCACAAAAAATCACAAATTGATACATCTATAATAAACGTAGGGTAAAACCCAAAAATGGTACATCCGTCAACTGACGTGTGTCATTTAACAAAGCAATTTGACAGTAAAATTTAACGAAAACTAACGGAGGGTAAATTTATTACAGATGTACCAGTTTGGGATTTTTTATGGTATTAACCCTTCTTTTTATTTTCCTTTTCTTTTTCCCCATTCCTCCTATTTTTACAATATTTCTTAATATTTGATGATTTGTATTGCCTGGTTCACCCGGCTCGCAAGAGCTTGGAGTTCATCAACGCGTTATTGCCATGCGATTAGCATGGCCAAAAAAGTGAACCATGTTCGGTATTCTAACCGTGGGGACCTATGTCTTGCGATTCCGCCGGCTTAGAAAGGTAGCCGATGAGTTGTACAAGTCAGCTAATATCCATAAACAAATTATCTACTCATTTGTGGACTGCTCGTATTTATGACTTTTTCTTCTAATTGTTCGAAAATCAAAATCGAACTTTTTTTTTATAGATTTCTAAACATCTTCAATTTCTAAAATAATGTCGTTGACGGATCGATGAAATGCAATCTTCTTGCAATTTTGACAAGAAGCCTGAAAGTAAATTTGAGTCCGGCCTTTTAAACAAGGGACGACGAAATCGTCTATATAAAATACGACCGAGAACGTGACTCGATGCGATACGACGTGGCTAGCTCTAAACTTGGACGAACAGGAACATTTTGACCCATTAATGTAATGATGATTGTTTATTTTTATTTGTTTGGTCCGTCATATCTCTAATTCTTCTCGTTCTCTAATTTTTACTTTGTTTATTGTAGAGCGCGGGAATTGAACTCTACATAAGCGATATTGGCGTCCCTATCCCTGATCTCTTTGCTAGAAGGGGGTGCATGCCTACTTGCCTAGTGGCAATAATGACTTGTTTATTTATAGGTAAGTAGTTGAGGTTTGGGCGGCTTTGATTTGTGCGGACGCAGAGTGGACATGATGAGACAAAACTTCGAGCTGTGAGGTTAAAGTACAATCAATCTTTCATCGAGGAGCGTTCGATCTGTTGACTTTGGAATACATCTTGACTCCCTCAGATCTCGACGGCGACGAGGCGGGCCCCGCGTGATGGGCGAGTTCCCAGCAACTTTTTACTATAAAAAGCACGCGAAAATGAAAAGAAAATAAGAGGGGGCAAGGGCCTTTCCCCCAAGAAGGTTGTCCTTAATTGGGAATTGGGATTTTGAATGTCACGACACCTCTATCTGGCTGAGATCAATTTGATTATCTACATGTACATCCTACGAAATAAGAAGCTGGTTTGGTACTCAAATATATGAACCGTGTGGTGGCATCGAGCATCTCCATGGCAGCTTGGAATTTGGCTTCTTTTAGGTTTTTTCCCGTCATTTTTTAAGAAGGGCCGAAGCATTGCGAAACTTCCGGCTAGGAAACTGAAGGTCGTCCGCTCAAATCCTATCGACCGCATGCAAATTGTGTTGAGTCGATGTGGCCCTCGCTATTATCGGTGCCCGAGGAATGATGAATGGACCTTTGAATAGTAGGTTCTTGCGCTCGTACCCCTGGATTTTATAGGGATAATGACGTAAATGATCTTCGAACTTTGGCTCAATTTACGATGTGATCTCCCTAACTTTCAATTTGTCCGATAGGGCCCCTTCACTTTAACCTAATGTTTAATGTCGTCCATGAACTTTTTATTTGTTCAATGTGGTCATTAAACTTTTGGTAAATGTTCAAATCGATCCCTAAGTTATATGAAAATAAACAATGCTATCATTCCATTAATTTAAGTTTAGGTACAATATTGAACATTTTCATATCTAGTTTGAACATGTATCGAAAGTTCAGAATCACGCTGAACAAATTAAAAGTTCAGGAACGACATTACACATTTTGAGAAAGTTCATGAACCGCATTGAACAAATTGAAAATTCAGAGACCACATTACATAGTAGGTCATAGTTTAATAACCATTTGTATCATTTTCCCAATTATATATAATGCACACATGTAACTAGTATGGAGGATTTATTTGCTCTTTTAGTCCCTACCTTACTATGAATAAACATTTGTTACTTAACGTGCAAAGACACACACACATGTATAATTGCAGTTTTAACAGGAGTGGGCATTAACTGGTAACATGTTTGATGGATTATTTATTTACTTTCTTTTGTAGCTTCACCAGAAACGAACTTTTGTTACTCAAACGCGTAAAGTCATCTAGCACGTTTTTATACTTTGAGAGCCCCGCCTGATTCGCTGGAAATTCACATAAAATATTGGGCTTAAGCGATGCTTTCCCTCCCAATTAAATCTTGAGAAAGTGATTTTTTTATTTATCATCCAACGAACGAGCGCAGACAAAATAATTTAATAAATTAAAATTGAGCATCTTTAGCTTTAACTCTTTTCGAAACATAGTAACGCAGATAACCAAGTGGCAGTCAGTGTCCTTCCATACCCATAAGATGACGATAATCATTATTATTGACTTTTGACTTCAGTGTGCCGTTGATGCGAAGTTATGAATCAAAGTATATTTATTTATCTCTTTGTTTTTTTTTTTTTTATAACCCAGGGAACCCCCGCACGGCCGACAGCCGGGAGGTAAACCCTAGGGGCGACACGTGCTAGCCACCACACACGTGCACCGGTTAAGTCACCCTGCGGCACCCGAGATTCGAACACTCAACCTTTTGCGAGAGGAAGAGTGCGCGCTCCAGCAGCGCCACCCAGGCGGGTGGTTTTATTTATCTCTTTGTTCATTGTCAGACAATATGTAAAAAGAATGGTTAATGCCACAAAAAAACTTTAAATTGATACATAAATGATAAATTTTATCTTATATTAATTTTTTTATCATAAAAAATTTCAAACCGGTACACCTATGATAAATTTACCATATGTTAGTTTCATCAAATTTTACCGTCAAATTGTAAGTTGGATGATACATGGCAATTGACAGGTGTATCAGTTTGATATTTTATCCTCCGTTTGTCATAAGTGTACTCATTTATAGTTTTTCGTGGTATTAATCTAATTTAACGGAAGCTATTGGGAGATAAATTTGTCACAAATGTACCGGTTTGGAGTTTTTTATAATCAAAAAATTAGTTTGGAGTAAATATGTCATGGGTGTACCAATTTGGGGTTTTTTATGATCAAAAAATTAGTTTTTGGTAAATTTTTTACAGGTATACTAGTTTAGAGTTTTTAGTTATCAAAAAATTAGTTTAAGGTAATTTGTTACATGTATACCAGTTTGAGATTTTTTGTGGTATTAACCAAAAAAACTAAAATTGATATCTTTATGCAATAAAAAGAAAATATCTTCTGAAGATGCTATATTAGCTTTGATAAATGAGTGATGAAACTTTTATAATTCAAAAGGGAGAAATTGAAAAACCAAAATCAAAGAAAAGTTTAGTCCGATGTAAATGTAATACGCCGATACATGGTAGCAAAACTACATGGTCAATATAAATTGGGTTAATACTATCAAAAACCCCAAACTTGTACGTGTGTGATAATTTTACCCAGAACTTTTTTTTTATCACCAAAAACCCCAAACTGGTACACTTGTGACAGTTTTACTCCAAACTTTTTTTTTATCACCAAAAACCCCAAATTAGTACACCTGTGACAATTTTACTCCAAACTGGTAAACCCGTGACAAATTTACCCTAAACTATTTTTTTGACCACAAAAAACCTCAAACTGGTACACCTGTGACAATTTTACCCAGAACTAATAATTTTTTAATATTATTTTTTATTTTTTCGAATTTTTTTAATTAAATTTTTTTTTTCTTTTTTTTTTCTTCATCTTCAACCCGTGGCCGATCGCCGGGCGGAAGCCGGCGAGGTCGGTCGCTGGCAAGGCTCGACCTCGCTGGCGCGAGCGAGGGCCGCCCTCGCCCGACTCAGGCCATGGCTGCCCTCGCTGGATCTGGGGAGGGCGGCCCTCGCCCGACTTAGGCGAGGGCTGCCCTCGTCGGCGTCGAGCGAGGGTTGCCCTCGCTTGGGCGGGCGAGGGCTGTCCTCGCTCGACTCAGGCGAGGGTCGCCCTCGCCGGCATCTAGATGCCGGCGAGCGTCGCCCTCACCAGATGCCGACGAGGGCTATCCTCGCCCGACGCCGGCAAGGTCGAGCCTCGCCAGCTTCCGCCTCTGGCCAGTCGCCGCACCGGCGACCGGTCAGAGGTTGAAGATGAAGAAAAAAAAAGAAA